TAAGTTATTTTTAATGAAGCAATATATATATATATATATATATAATAAGAAAGAACAGTAAGATTTATAATCCAGTGTTCTTAGTAATTATTTTTATTTAAAAACTGCTTAGTACAAACAGTAGTGGGTGTGTGTGCACACACAAAATATATTGTCAACTCAGGTGTGTACATTTAAGTTTATAAAATATCATTTGTGTGCATGCATGTGTACACATGTATTACTATAAAAGTGCAGATGTTTTTAACATCAATTCCTACATCTGACTGATGCACCATATATATTTCCTGCCTTGCAGACATGCATAAACTTATTCAATTACATTTCCCTATACTTTCGATTAATTTCCCTCTCAATTTGCTATTATTGATATCACCGATCAATAATGGATCACAGAAGCCTATGAAATATACACGTATTTATAAATATACGCACAAGACTGTGAATTTCTTGTTTGAATAGGTTTCTTTGACTGGATATTGGATATGAGTTTGTTTTTTTTTAATGTTATTTTTGGCTTTTCTTTCCTTTTGTTTCATGAAAGCTTGGCTTTCATGAAGCCTTGGCTTTCAGGCTGCTGTTGAACAACCCTAGCCTCATCCATTTCACTCATCTCTCATCTGTACAGTCAATAAGATTTTAACAAAATTCCACATGCACGAACTTAACCAATGCAATCTGCCAGTGTTTGCGCATTTAAAATGTCTGATTTGTGAATTTCTCTATAAAAATAGATTGCTCAACAGACCTTGCATTTTAGTCTGTATAAACAAACGCATGTATTTTCAAATACTTGAATGTAGTTCTCAAAATTGATATCTGTTAGAATAATCTAATTCCTATCTTTGTTATTATAACATTATTATGTTGTTATATACAGTGAGGTACAAAAGTAAGTCAACCCTGAAGGTAACATTAAAAAATATTCTTTTTTTCCCAGATAATCAGCAAACCTTAATTAAACTATAAAATAAAGACATTAATTGAAAATGTCCAAATGTAAGTGAACGTTACATTTAATATTTGGTGACTCCTCCTTTTGAGGTCACATCGATCACTTTTTTTCTATAATTTTTAAGAAGTTTATGGCTGTAGTGAGCATCAATTTTTAACGACTACTCTTGTTAAAACTCCCACAATTACTCAATGTTACCTGGTTTCTTGCATGTACTGACTTCTTTAATTTGGACCAGATTTTCAATTGAATTTAGATCAGGATTTTCAGACCATTCTAAGACATAAAATTTCTTTTTTTGAACGCTTTCTTTTGCTGATTTGCTTTTATACTTCAGATCATTGTCCTGTTGGAATATCCAAACTTGACCTAAACTGAACTTTCAAAATTGCTTGGCATCTTTTTGTCATTGGTCCTCACCTATAACTACAGAATGAACTCTTCCTAACACTATACTATGCCTCTCAAGAGAGGGACGAATCAAGCTGAGCTTCTCGGCTTGACGGTCGAACTCTCTGTCTCTGAGCAAAGAGGAACCTGGACGAGGCTCCGCCGAAGGGCAGTCTCGTTCGGGGAGGTTGATCAACCTGATTCTGTTTTTACAGTTTCTACGAGCATTTTTTGGCTGAGCCTATGGGCTCGGAAAACCAACTTAAAACTCGGCTTTGTGCCACATCTTTCCCTCGTTGGGGGGGGGGGGGGTAAGTAAATATCAAATCGAGTCAAGCTGATAGTAGTTCACTCCAAACCAGACTGACAGTCATACTAAGACCTTCCACATCTTGTATTATTATTTCATGTAATATACCTTTGTTATTTCTACTCTTGTGTTCGTGTTGTTCTTCCTTGGTCCTAACCTGGACCATAACACTTTTAGAGTCCATTGTGCAGTTAATGTGTACAATTTTGCCTTTTCTGGCTCCAGCAAAGCACCCCCAAATCATAATACTGCTACTGCCATGTTTAACTGTTGGCACCAAAATCTTCAGATGTACTGCCTATTGTTCCTCACAAAAATCTCTAGTTTATTCTCATCCAACCATAAAACCTTTTGCCAGAACATTTCTAGCTTATTAATATGATCTTTAGCATAGTTGAGCTGAGCTTGTTTGTGCTTGGTTCATAAGCAGTGGCTTTTTTCTAGGCATGCTGCTATGAAGACTAGTGTTCTGACATTTCTTCTGAGTACAAACTGTTCAGTGATTAATGTCCCAAGTGCTCTTGGACAATAGCGTCGGGGTTTGTTGCTGGTAAGTGAAAGTAATGAACTTGACTGGAATTCAAACTCAGCACTCCAATTTCTCATTCTGAGCCATTATCCATTAAACAACCCACAAATTCATATTACTTCTTTTTCCTTTTTCTCTCTTTTTTCCCCTTTTTTTCAAGTTGAACTTATATCACTTTATCAAATTTCCATTATTGCCTACTACCCCCTCTCTCTCTCATATATTATTAAAAACATTATTGGTCAGAGTTGAATTAGACCAAGAAACAGTAGTATTAAAATGTGCTCAATACACGTATAAATAAAATTAAAAAAATTAGCATGCAGAGCTTTTAAATTCAAAAAATGAAAAACTAATGCAGAACAAGGTATCATCATTAACAGTGAAACACATAACTATAGAAATAAAAGTAGATGTCCACTAGATGGAGTTTGCAAAACTGAAGGAGTAATTTATAAAGCAGAAGTAAAAGACCAAAATTTACATAGGATGTACTGAAGGCAGATTCAAAACAAGGTGGTATAATCACAAGTCATCATTTAAGCTAGAAAGACTTTAGAATTCTACCAGACTAGTCAGCCATGTGTGGAAATTAAAAGAAAAAAACAACAGAGATCTGATTGTAAACTGGGAAATAATAAAAACAGCCAAACCTTACTACAATCACAGTAATATCTACAATCTTTGCCAAGAAAAAAAGTTAACAATAATAACATTTCCAGACTAGAGAAACCTTCTGAATGAGAGATCAGAAATAATGACATGGTGCTTATACACACAAAAAAAGTTCCTCTTGAGTTTGTTTGAACCAGGATGGAAGGATGTACATTTCATATAAAGGGATACAATTTCAATATCCTTGCTTTTCTCCTATCCTATTATGCTTTGCATTGTGTTTGTTTATTTTTAAATAATGAAGTGTTAGGAAATTATTTAACCCAGATCGCCTGAAGATACTCCAAAGTTGAAACCAAGGTAGCATGATCAGCTAATCTTCTAATTTTTTTTAAATATGTATATACATACACACACATTAAAATTTGCAATATTTATAGCAATATACTATATATTGTATAAAATGTGTTATATTTAGAGAAGAGGATTTCTCAAAATCAGTGATAGACCATTTAAATATATGAACATTGTTGACATAGGAATCAACACTGTATGGAAACTTGATCTGGAGATCACATTGAAGTATAAAACTGATAGTCACCATGCAGTGTTGGTTCCATATATATATATATATATATATATATATAATTAGAGCACTTGAGTTCAAATTCCACTTGAATTTGTATCATTCACTTATGTGCAAATACCCTTGTGAAAGGTATAAATCCATCTCTTCTCCCTGCACTTAGGGATGAATAGCAGGACATACTGAGTCCTATAGTCTTGGTTCACAATGAGTCTAGGAGGATGACGACTCTGAATTGAAAACTTGTAGTACATTGTGTGCCAGTTCACTGTATTTAATTCTTCCGGGAAGTGTTGTTAGTTCTATACAAGTTTTCACCACTGTAATTGAATCATGTGTGTGGGTAGTCCGACTGTTCAGTTTTAAGTGTTGAACTGTTGGACTCTCATACTTCAAAGAAGATGGGTGTGGCGGACATGAGACAGAACCTGGGACGAGCACAACTGGTCACGACTTGCCTTGTCCCCGCCAAAAAAGAGCCCGTATTTGCTTAGCATGTAAAGCTACTGCAGTTGAAATGAGGGAGAGAAAAAAAGCACTTACCGCTCTGACGTAATCCATCCTCGGCCAGATAACGTAAAAGAATGAGGGGTGACTGGCATCGCATTTTTATCCAATAACGATGCAATGCATTATGGGACATGGACACAATGCATTATGGGACATGGACGCAATGAATTATGGGATCACAGGAAGGCGCAAGGGATTATGGGTACATGAACAACTATAAAAACAACTACTTTTTTCCAAGTCGGCGAGTTCTTCGAGGGACGTTCACGGTTGACGGCTAGAACGGGCAGTTAGTGTGATTTGAAGACAGAACTCGGGAAGGAACGACTCAAGTTTGAAATACCAGCTGGGAGAGCTTGAATTTACTCGCTGGTTACTGTTTTCTTCATTCGCCTCAATGGGCAAGTCCATCAACATCGTGCACACATACAAAGACACACTTGAAAGTAATGCCTCCTATTTATTTTAATTTACATGGAAACTATAAAAGATACTGCAGATAACAATAACATCATTGCAGAGAAGATTTCAATTACAAAAATCTATTTTTCATCTGGTGCTTCACATTGACTATGTATTTTTATCTACAAGGAACACTAGCCTTAACGTGGCCACATAAAAATGGATTGTTCTTGCTGAAATTCCTTACTCATTGTCTAACCTTGCCCACATCCACATTCAGCAAGTATCAAATGTCAATGGGTACATTTCACCATCTTCAAAATCTCATATGAACAAATTCAATGAAATATCTCTGATTTGTTTGTATTTTCATGTCAGATACCATTTTACCAGACTGCTATTTGTAACTAGGTATAAAAAAAATATTACATAAATGGTTTAATTGCCAAGTTCAGTCTTTGATGTCATCGATGTAATGAAATAGGAGGTATTATTTTTTAGGATCCTTTCTCTTTTTATTTGAGCCTGGACTTTGATTTGGTATGGATCTTTTCTTTTGACTTACATCCTCATATGGTCAATTGTTATCAGTTTTTTCTTTTTACTTGTCCTTTTCAATATGTCATGCAATGTTTTTTGACAAGCATCTTTTTTCTACTTAATTAAATGCTTAATTAATTTCTTGTCTAATCAATATTTGCAGATCTGATGAGTACCTTGTTAAATTAACCGTCTCTAATGAAATTAGCAACAGCTCAATTACAAAACGTTTGTTCATTTTGAACGACACCTGCTTGGCACCAGAGGTCAACATCCTTGGCTCCAAGAACCAAATTGTAAGTAACACAATTCATACAATGCAATTTTATTGAAATGTTCAGAGACAAGGTCAGTTAAGAAAAAAGATCAACCAAAACCTTAATGTGTTCAGTGTCTGACAAAGATTGATATTGTAGAAATCAGCTTGACACTATAGTACAAACCATTGCAAAATAATAGCATTTTAAATATAATTACTAATATTATTTAATTGATTTTCGTCAGCAAATGTTTAAAATTAGTAGTACCAATTTACCAGTATGACCAGGCTTTGTTGACAGGGCAATATCAACCTTTCCAATGCCAACATGAGAAAGTTGAACCAAGATAAGAGTGATAGCTTGTTGCATAAATGGTAAAGTTCAGAAATAGGAAGTTGTGCCCACTTGGTGGATTAAAAAGTTTGTACTTTTAAAAAAATTGCTTAACACTTCAACTGCTGTAGTCATAGGTATACTTTTTTATGAAACTTACATTACCTTCTGTTGACATGTTTTCAAGATTTAAATACAGACATGTATATCTTTATGAAATTTACATTGTCCACTGTCAACATATCCCTGTTTTCAAGATACTGTGAAATGTTGGATGCTAGCATTTCGGTTATAAACTAACTTGTATTTTGTGCTTTTCTAAACCAATGTAGGCATATAGTGGCATGCGATATGATGTGTTTTATGGCATTTATTTTTTTATTGTGTTTTGGGGATGTTGTTTAGCTTCATCTGTAATGCACAGCCAGGCAGCAATGCTGTAACAATGCAGCAGTGAAAGTGTTAAGCTTCCATTATTTCTTCTGCTGAATTTATTTCATGAAAATGAATTTGGCCAAGAAGTAGATAGGTTGACCTATCGTCTGGTTCACACTCCTCCTTGGTCTTTTGGACAGGAGTAGAGGTTTATCCCTTGTTCCTTGTTTAGAACTGAATTTTCAGTTCTTTCTAATGTCTACATCATTCTCTTTCACTCCCAGTAGCACCTTGTGCCTTAGTGGCATTGTCACCTTGCTTGGGGAGTGAATTGATAAGGCCTCTCAGTAAGTAGTCTGGTCAAGGCATCTTTGCAGTAAATGGGTAGCTGTTCAAGAAAGGTCTGATGTGAAAAAGTCAGGTTCTGAAGACAAGTCTGCCATGGGCTGCTCAGTGGTGTGAGACAGGTCTGCTATTGGTCAGTCAGTGGTTCGAGACTGGTCTGCTGTGGGTCAGTCAGTGGTTCGAGACTGGTCTGCTGTGGGTCAGTCAGTGGTTCGAGACTGGTCTGCTGTGGGTCAGTCAGTGGTTCGAGACTGGTCTGCTGTGGGTCAGTCAGTGGTTCGAGACTGGTCTGCTGTGGGTCAGTCAGTGGTTCGAGACTGGTCTGCTGTGGGTCAGTCAATGATTCAAGACTGGTCTGCTGTGGGCTGGTTAGTGGTTCAAGGAGTGTGCCATGAGCTTACCAAGTTGTCAAAACAACATCACTGTAAATGGACTGAGCTCAAAATAACTAAGAATTTGTTTTTGCTTTTTTTAGATCCAACGTTCAAAAGATGTGCATATTGAACCAGTTGTTTCCGTGAATTGTACAAAAAGATATGTTAATTACACTTGGAAAATTTTTAACACCACAACAGGAAATCTGATCAAGTTAGAGAAGATAGATAACAGCGTATTCCATGAAAGAATCCTCTTTTTACCGAGACGTACTCTTCACTATGGTAACTACAGCATCCAATTAGAGGTAAGCTTTACTCAATCTTTAAACTATTTTTTCTTATTTAAAGTTTTAATTTGATGTTTGAAATTTTGATTTTTAGTATGATCTTTAATTAAAGTTTTTCATATTATTCACTTAATGACCAGTAAAGACTATTCTTAATGTTGATATCCTATTTATATTTACTTGCAGATAAATAAGATGAAACTACTCTGAAATTAGCCAAATTCCAAATATATTTAAAATCTGAAGTTAACTTCACTTGCAATTTTACTAATTCCTAATCAGCAGGAATCTCATATTTAATGATTTCATTGATTTTGTTTCAGGTGCGAATGAATGGTACAATTGTATATTCCAAAGTTGAGATTCATCTTCAAGTGATACCATCCACTCTTCATGGAGTCATAGATGGTGGAGTGATGCGCTTTATCTCACGTTTCTCTGATGAAATCAGACTGGACGGATCCAAGTCCGAGGATCCAGATTGCTTAACCAAAGACCATTTGAGGTAAGTTTTTGAGGGAAGACATGTTTACTAACCTCTGAAATCAAAATCAAGAAAATATTTCTGTTAAAATTATTGTCTGATATTATCTATATATGCTGGTTTGGAAATAACACTAAGCATTAGTTGGTCTATGATACAAGCTCTAGAACTCAACATTTACTGTCTTCAAAATGTGTGTGTGTATATATATATATATATATATATATATATATATATATGATAGCAGGCAATATTAGTTTCATAAAGACATTTAAGTACATCTGTAACAACAGAAGTGTTAATGACTTTGTTGTGGCAGCTTTCTGTGGCAAATGCATATCAGTCCAGATATAAAAAAGGCTCTGAGTCATATGTAGATATGTCTGCTGATGTCATTTAGTCACATCTATGTTTCTCTGTTAGCAGCAGAACAGCTTGGAAAATCCAGATATGAGCCTCTCTGCAACTTGTCTAGAACTGGGTCTTTGTGACTTGTTTCATGTCAATAAAAGCTATGGGAAAACAGTCTGCTTTTGGTAAGACTCGCAATGCTATTGTCTGAGATGTGATGTCTTGTAAATATGTTCCCATGGCATATTTTGTTCTGGAAGTTACATACCATGCACTGTAGTTTTTGATGCAGTGGCCTCCCTCATCATTATTCAGTTTTTTTTAATTTCTTCCCATCTTTCTCTCTCTCTCTCTCTGCCTTCTCACACTTAATTGTTAAAAGAACAATCTGTTACCTGTTAAATGTTTCCCCCCAGCCACAACATATTCTTTCCTTATTTTCCTATACTTTCTCTTTGTAAAATTATTAAACTTCTTAAAGGACCAATATTAATCAAATTTGTTTGACGACATTAAAAAAGGGAGGCATTGCAGAATGGCTACCAGCACAAGACAGAGCCAACGAACAGAGTTCAAGTTGTTACTAAGGCTGCTCAAATTCACCTTTTATTAATCACTTTCTTCCCCTCAGTAGAAAATAATGTGGCCAACTGGGCTTCATAGGTTTCATTATTAACCAGTTTAGGAGAAAGACAACTCTAATTAATCCCCCCCCCCCAAAAAAAAACGGTGTGTCATTTCTTGGGTATATCAATGGTAAAACTGATAATCCCTAGTCCAAAATGGGGCTAGTGTAAATTGGAGGTTTATCTAACATTTGAGTCTCATTTCAATCTCACCTTACTCTCAGCTCTAGTGTCAATCACACCTATGTCTACCTTTTGGCTATGGTGTCAATTGGACTTATGTGCGCATTGTCCGTATGTCTACTGTTTAGCTCTTGTGCATCAATTTTACCCATGTCTGCTTTTTGGCTCATGCACCAATCATGCTCATGTCTACCTTTTTGCTTGAGTGCCACTTAGGGTTCACATTGATTTTCCTGTTAATTCTTTGTAATTTTTGTCCCACGAGACATAAATTCTACATTAATTGATGTGTTGATATATGGTCAAATTAATTAACAAACCTGCTTATGATCAAAACACTGATTCTTGTTCAATCACTAAAAGTTAAGTATTGACCATCCCAGTCAATAGTTAGATTAAGGACTGGTTAGGAACACTGGGTTTTAAATCACTCACAAAGGGTTGATAAACTGTAAAAAAACAAACCAACCAATCGATCAATAACGTACCAATCTAACAATATCTGCCTGGTTTTTAAAAACATTTTTTTTTCTCTCATTTTCTTTTTTTCTTTTCAGGTATCAGTGGAGCTGCAATCAACTTAACAACAAGAACACTACCTGTTTCCACACTGGTTACAAAATTCCACTGAACAAATCTATTCTGACATTTCCTGGCAGTGAACTAACCACTGATATCAATGACTTTGAGTTCACCCTCAACATCTCCGTACCTGGATTGCACAGCATCAAGACCAGCCAAGTACTGCGTGCTATCAAAGAACACAATATTCTACCGTATGTATTCTTTCAATTGACTCATTGTATCTTCTTGGACTAACATTTCTGTTGGCACAAAGTGGAAAGAGTATAGTGAATCAATTTCTAAGTCTGCAGTTAAGAAAGTTGGTTCACTATGTTGTGCTGGACAATTTTTCTTGCCAGAATCTATCTTACATATTTATAGGTCTACCATTTGTCCTTGCTTTGAATATTACTGCCACATTTTGTCTGGTACTCCTGTTATACATTTGGAAATTCTTGATAAAATCCAAAGTAGAATCTGCAGTGTTATTAGTCTTGACATCTCAGCCTCGGTCACTTTCCCACTGCCATAATGTAGCTTTTCTGTGACTCTTCTATAAATATTTCCATGGTAGTTGTAATGATGAACTCTCCTCTATGGTACCTAGACTTTATGAATTTATGTTCAGTACTAGATAGGCATTGAAGTTCCATCATTTTACAGTTGAATTGGCTAGATGTAACCATAAGCCCTTTGCTAAGTTTCTTTTCTCACATTTCTTGCTTGTGGAACTCTTTTGGCTTCTTGCTTTCCTGTCAAGTTTGATCTTTAAAAATTTAAATGCAATGTCAATCCTTATCTATCATCATCTTGATTCCACTTCTTTTATTGTTCTCACTCCTTCATGTCTTTCTTTTTCCTATTCTTTCACACTCACTGACCCCTTGCGTCTTAGTGGTTTTGTTGCCTTACTTGTGGTAAAAATGATTAAACCAAAGGGAAAAAAATCTCCCTCTAACATCATCCTTTGCTCTTATTGATTCTAATATTTCTTAATCTACAAATTATTGGTTAATTTTACCACAGGTTGGTTAACAATTAAGCAGGAAGTGTTTATGGCACACACCGTGGAGCAAGTGCTGAATTTTCTCTCTCGTCGTCATGTTGGCCATAACTCTTTCACTGTCATTTATGATAGTGGTAATATTAGCAGTTTCCTTTATAAAGAAATATTTGGCATTTATTGACTAAGCAAACAAGTTATGTTTTCTTCACACCCTGGCCATCAGGCTAGGATCAAAGTGTAGCATTTGTTCTAATCTTGAAAGGTAATATTAGCCATTTACATATAAGGAAACATTTGGTATTTATTGACTAAGCTGCCAGTGCTACTCAAGTTAAACTTTTCTTCACTCGCTGGCCATCAGGCTAGGATCAAAGTGTGTTATCTGCCTTCGGGGCAACAAAGTTGTGTTTCTATGTTTGGACAGAATGCAACAAATAAATGTGAAATGGCTGGTCCTAGGGATTACAACCCTCTAGCAGCATGTCATTCAATCATTGATTGAGCAGCCAGTGCTACTCAAGTTAGGATTTTCTTCACTCCCTAGCCATCAGGCTAGGATCAAAGCATAGTATTCTCTCTCTATCTCCTTCTTAATTCTCTCTCTCTCTCTCTCTATCTCCTTCTTAATTCTCTCTCTCTCTCTATCTCCTTCTTAATTCTCTCTCTCTCTATCTCCTTCTTAATTCTCTCTCTCTCTCTATCTCCTTCTTAATTCTCTCTCTCTATCTCCTTCTTAATTCTCTCTCTCTCTCTCTCTCTTCTTAATTCTCTCTCTCTCTCTATCTCCTTCTTAATTCTCTCTCTCTCTCTCTATCTCCTTCTTAATTCTCTCTCTCTCTCTCTATCTCCTTCTTAATTCTCTCTCTCTCTCTCTCTCTCCTTCTTAATTCTCTCTCTCTCTCTCTCTCCTTTCTTAATTCTCTCTCTCTCTCTATCTCCCTTCTTAATTCTCTCTCTCTCTCTCTCTCCTCTCTCTTCTCTATCTCCTCTCTCTCTCTCTCTCTCCTTCTTAATTCTCTCTCTCTCTCTCTCCTTCTCTCTCTCTCTCTCTATCTCCTTCTTAATTCTCTCTCTCTCTCTCTATCTCCTTCTTCTCTCTCTCTCTCTCTCTCCTTCTCCTTCTCTCTTCTCTCTCTTTTCTCTCTCTCTCTCCTCCTTCTTATTCTCTCTCTCTCTCTTTCTCCTTCTTAATTCTCTCTCTTTCTCCTTCTTAATTCTCTCTCTTTCTCTCCTTCTTAATTCTCTCTCTTTCTCTCCTTCTTAATTCTCTCTCTTTCTCTCCTTCTTAATTCTCTCTCTTTCTCTCCTTCTTAATTCTCTCTCTTTCTCTCTCTTCTCCTTCTTAATTCTCTCTCTCTTTCTCTCCTTCTTCTTAATTCTCTCTCTTTCTCTCCTTCTCTTTTCTCTCTTCTTTTCTCTCTCCTTCTTAATTCTCTCTCTTTCTCTCCTTCTTAATTCTCTCTATCTCCTTCTTAATTCTCTCTCTCTCTCTCTATCTCCTTCTTAATTCTCTCTCTCTATCTCCTTCTTAATTCTCTCTCTCTATCTCCTTCTTAATTCTCTCTCTCTCTCTCTTCTTAATTCTCTCTCTCTCTCCTCTCTCTCTCTCTCTCTATCTCCTTCTTAATTCTCTCTCTCTATCTCCTTCTTAATTCTCTCTCTCTATCTCCTTCTTAATTCTCTCTCTCTATCTCCTTCTTAATTCTCTCTCTCTCTCCTGTCCCCCTTCTTAAATTCTCTCTCTGTGTCCCCCCTTCTCTCTCTGTGTCCCCCTTCTCTCTCTCTGTGTCCCCCTTCTTAATTCTCTCTCTCTGTCCCCCTTCTTAAATCTCTCTCTCTGTGTCCCCTTCTAATTCTCTCTCTCTGTGTCCCCCTTCTTAAATTCTCTCTCTCTGTGTCCCCCCCTTCTTAATTCTCTCTCTCTGTGTCCCCCTTCTTAATTCTCTCTCTCTGTGTCCCCCTTCTTAATTCTCTCTCTCTGTGTCCCCCTTCTTAATTCTCTCTCTGTGTCCCCCTTCTTAATTCTCTCTCTGTGTCCCCCTTCTCTCTCTCTCTCTGTGTCCCCCTTCTCTCTCTCTCTCTGTGTCCCCCCTTCTCTCTCTGTGTCCCCCTCTCTCTCTGTCCCCCTTCTCTTCTCTCTCTGTGTCCCCCTTCTACTCTCTCTCTCTCTGTGTCCCCCTTCTACTCTCTCTCTCTCTCTCTGTCTCCTCTGTGTCCCCTTCTCTCTCTCTCTCTGTGTCCCCCCTTCTCTCTCTCTCTCTCTGTCCCCCCTTCTCTCTCTCTCTCTCCCTCTGTCCCCTCTCTGTGTCCCCTCTCTCTCTCTCTCTGTCCCCCTTCTACTCTCTCACCTTCTCTCTCTCACCTACTCTCTCTCTCTCTCACCTACTTTCGTTTCTTTGACTTATTTTTTCCTTCCATCTACTCATTTTATCCCATATTTAAATTTCCCTTGAATTTATTTTTCTTTTTACTTAAATTGCAAGTGTACACTTTTATCCTTCCCTCTTCCCTTGCTGAAGATTCATCCTGTTTCGCTGGGGGGGGGTGTTGAGGTTGTACTGTAATTTCTGGTCACTGGATATTCCGTCTTCCCTTTGCATCCATCAGTGAAAGGCCAGCAACACCGATTCAATCTTCTCTCACCCCCACCCACCAATCACACAAGTCATCAATTCTACTCAGCTTCTCTGACAAGAATAGATGTTCACAGTTTATAACCTCTGGCTGCTATTCATTCTTTGGCCCGCCCAGTTGTTGGCTAGCCTTCCCAGCCATTGCCAACTGATTACTGTCCACAATATCTGAATGATAAAAGCATCCTCAACTATTCAAATGATCTCTTTTTCATTTACTTTTTCTCTTTGTTATTTAGACTCCAGCTTGAAATAGACTCGATTGAAATTCACTGCGTACTTGCTTATCAGTGAATGTCACATAAATATTTTAGAGTTTAAGATTTTACTTACTGCTCCAGTTGGGATATTTTGAAAGTCTATAATTTTTAAAAGTGCACATTCTCTTTCTTGGAATGGATCTTGAAAATGTTTTTGACAGTTTACCAGGTTGGACTACTTCTTCTTTTATGTGCCATATCCCTTCACGATCATGGCCCTCCACATCTTCCTGTCCCTTGTAACTCTTAATAAGTTTTGTCTTTTTGTTATTTCTCCCAAACTCTGTTCTGCCATCCATTTGCTCAAGCTCATCAAATATGTTATGTACTGCTTTCTGCTGTCCTTCTTGCCCTCAATCTGTCCTGTGAGTATCAGATTTTCCAAGCCCTCATTCCTCATTATGTGCCCCAGAAATTTCAACTGCCTCTACCTGATGTTAAGTATAAATTTTCTTTTTGTTTCCATTCTCTGCAAAACTTTGTTGTTCACATGTATGTGCTGTAAGTGTTATCTTCTCCAAGTCTTCTTTCCTCATCATGCTTCCTGGAAATTTCAACTGCCTCTTTCTGATTCTAAGTATAAATGTTCTTTTTGTTATTTTTTTCTTAAAAACACTCTCAATACTCACATGTTCCCTTAATGATATTCTTATCATCCTTCTGTAGAACCAATCACTGTTGCCTTCTCTCTATCTGGCAGACAATTGTCCTGCATTCAATGACATTCAGGAAAATTGTTTATTATATAGCAGTTCAGCAATGTGTTTTTTTATTTTAAAGGAATTTTCCTGTTTCTTCCTTTAGCTTTTAGGAGGCATCTTTTACTGTTCCAATGTGTCCTTGGATAGCTAATCATTTGAAAGCAATGAGGTGTGTTGTGTGAAAGAGGAAAGTAAGATGGAAAGGCATAATTATGGAAAGACAAAACTTGTGCCCACAAAAGATCACATGGCTGCACTTGTATCTATCTGTTCAGTTTCATTCAAGTGCAAGGAAGCTTATGCAATTACAAACATCAGTAAATATGAAAAGGTTCGCCTGATTGTTCATGCGTCTATGCTTGCATAAGTTTCATTAAAAAAAAGCTAACAATGAACTGCGGTTAAGTATTTTAATGTAATTTTTCTTGTGTTCTTATAATTTTTTTTTCTTTTCTGGACATAAATTATGTAGAAAATGTCCGACTGTTCTGTATGTCCAAGCTCTTTCATCTATACTTTTAGCCAGTATCAAGAATGATTTTATTTTTACTTTTAACTGAATGTATCTAGTATTAGAGGAATGTTTTATTTTCCAAACACAGTCAACACATTGTGGCCATAATCATAGTTGATGTTATTGAGTGTTGGCTTTTTCTTTTTTATTAAAAATTCTTCCATTATTTTAGCCTTTTATTGCATGTGCATGAGGCTATTATATTTTTTTGTCATTGAGTATATTATTGATAGCGTTTGGTAAGTCTCTGTGTATTTAAATGAGATCTAATTAAAGTACGGTCAAAGAAATGTAAAAGCAAATTCATAAACAAATAGTATCTACAAACTCCATCTGCAACATATTTGTTGACAATACACATAGCCTCACACACATGCAAAAAGAAAATATATATGTGCCATATATCTCTGTGTATAAGATGACTTTTAAATCCCAAAACCCAGCCTTAAATACAGGGGATTGTCTTATATTTCTAACAAAAACACTTTAAATTCTGAGTGATGTTTGTCTGTAAGCTAACCTCGGTAAACAAAACAATTTTTTCCTTTAGAGGGCGTGTGTTGGAAAGATATGATATAGAATCAGTTTTGTTAGATTGTCTATTTTGAATTTCTAAGGATATAATAACATTTCCAATAAAATCATCTGTATATAATCAATAAGCAGTTGTCTTATAGTACAGGTGTAGGATAAATTCATGAAAATTTGCTATATTTTTTGACCTTGTCTTATCTAAAGGTCGCCTTATATGTGGAAACATATGGTAGATATATTTGTCATTTATACTTTGATGTAGATGATCTAACATTGTTATTTTGTTGAAGTTCCAGTTCAATTCTTCTGGCTTTGTCAAATATTGTTGTTTTTTTTTTATATATTTTCTCACAGATCTTCTGTAGTAAATTGTAGGTAACTCTTTCTCTATTTCTGTCAAAATGGGCTGAGAGCAAGTATAGAATTTTACTGGAACTTGAACAAGATAACATCTTATTAAGACCAGAGTTGGATTGTCTATGTTCAAACCATAATAACATAAAACATAAATAGATCAACAATCTTCATCAAATTAAAATAATCACTTCAGAACAAAACTCACAAAATTTTCTTCTTTTATTCTGACATTTCTTACACCAGCCTAGCTGAAAAATATTAACAATTTAATATTGAAGCATGCACATACATAGATATCTTTTGTTCTGACCTGAGGAAGCCAGCTACTGAAAGCAAAATGTGTAGTCAAGTAAACAAAACAGTTTACCAGTCTGATTTATGAAACTTTTGTATGGATTCTGTATCTTAGTAATACACATCCTGTTGGCATGCGAAGACAAATCTATACTTGATTGGAAAATAAAAGAATCTTTTGCTTTAAGCCCATTCCAAGAAAAATAGAAAAAAAAATTTATGTAAAATTCACTGCAGAATAGCTGGCAGTTGATATAAAAACTAAAAAACAAAAACCAACTTCCAATAAAGCATGAAAAATTGGACTCAAACATTAACAAAATAACATCACATCAAGACCCGTATCTGATCATTTACATTGAACTAAAAATAACATATTGACAAACTGTATAATATATAGGATGCGATGGATAAATTGTCGTCTAAATCATGTAAAAAAAATTAAAATAACACTGACATCTCATTTTAACAGATATATTTACCAAAATTACACAAAAATATCTTGAAATACTAAAGAGTAAATTTATTCAATAAAATTGCTATTGGCTTCAACCACAGCTTCCATATGACTTCTGAATTTCCTGCAACACTTCTGAACAGTCTCCTTGTTTAAAGTGGTGAATACTACCACAATCCTTGCCTTCAGTTCATCTTTGGTGTTACAAGGAGTTTTTTTGGTCTCTCAACTATGCCCCACACATAATAATCAAGGACGTTGCAGTCAGTGGAATTAGGTGGCCCATGGTGCAGCGTCCTGTTGCCAGACATAGGGTCTTTAAGAAGTCACCCTCTTGGCCCAAGGTACCACTACCTTCTCAAGGTACTTGATGTTGTCTGTACTGAGTCTAAGGCCTTCTGGGAAGATGAATGGAGGCATAACATCGCCATCACTAGTGATCACTTCAAACACCTTTTGTAATCACCATTAGACTCATCCAACTTTTTTCCAAATACTCTGCATTGTCCTCAGATTGACATCCAAACACTCTGAAATGTTCATATTGGAGCTTCTGGCATGAATGCCAAGCAGTACATTGTCATTTCCAAATTTCTGGCAGTGAATTGCATCATGGTAAGCTTTTTCTTATGGTGCCCAACTGAAACTACTATACTGTACAATCAACAAAATAAAAAACAATACGCATCTGCAAAATTAAAAATATAAAATGGTGACAATTTATTCATTGTATTGTGTGTGTGTGTTTGTTTTTTATATATATATATATATATATATATATATATATATATATATATATAATAATGAGCTGAAAACCTGTCTGGAAAAACATTTTTAATAATAAATTTATTTATAAGGGTGTACAAATGAAAAAATATGAAATTGACAACTTTTTCTATTTCATTGAAACAGACGTTAAACACTTCTATCTTTCCTTCTTTCATCTTCTCATTGATCATCTCTGAGTAGCATCTCTGATATGTCAGTGCCTTGTTTTCAAATGGAATATTCCATTATTTATGAGGTATTGGCAAGGTGTAATGGTAGGGTAAATTACAGAACAGAGGGACAAGCAGAATTATAATAGCAAGCAAATAATTAATTAATAGTGTAGGTATCACCACTGTTCCACTAAAAAAATGAGCATACCATGATGAGAATAAATTTTCATCATCAAAGTGTTTGTTACTATTAAGAGGAAAGACTGAAGTATTTTTTGCTTATTTTATTAAATTTTTCCACTATTTTTAGAACATTTGAAATTTTGATTAAAAATCTTTTTTTCTTTTTTTTTTTTTTACCATTAAAATCCATGATGTCCATCATTTTTGAGACATTTGTAAACTAAAGTTAAATACTCAGTTTACAAATTTTGTAAATATAACATACCTTTTTCAAAAGTTATTTGAGGAAAATTAGAAAATTTAAGCTTTACTTAATCCAATTGGAAACATAACGTTACTTTTTTTTAGCAAAAAAAATGTAGTTGAAAATGTAAAAAAAATATTTTTACCATGACTTTCAAAAAAAATAAACATGTCTAGAATAATTTTATTCACTTGTGAATAAGTTCTGAAAGTTTCATTAAAATCTGACAATTTGATTTTTGCAAGAATTTCAGTAACAATGTGTTTTTAGTGCCAAAAAGACACTAAAATTTCCTAAGACTAAATCTTTGGCTGACCCACTGATACAAAAACAAGATTTTTAACCAAAATTTCAAACATGCGAGAAAGGATGAAAAAATTTAATAAAATAATAAAAAGATACTTTGGTCTTTCTTCTTAGTAATAATATTTTGACGATAAAACTTTTCATTAAGCTTTGGGCATTTTTTCATTAGAGATACCTAAAATAGTGTCATATTTCTGTCAGTTGTTAAAAAAAACTTGACCAATATTTATTTTGACAAATATTATGCTCTTCCTCTTGTTTAAACACATCAGTCAGTGTAATAATAATAATGATTTTGAAGTAATTTTGCATATTTAAAAAAAAATTTTTTTTTTTTTTTTTTCAGAATAAAACTGATGTGTATTACCTGCATGAACAATGTCATGAATGCTAATGAGAAACTGATTCTGGAGACAATCTGTGATGGTTGTGCCAGTGATCCTTCTTTGTTTATCTACGAGTGGAAGGTCGAGATCATCAACAATGGAAATTATAACAGATACGTCCATGCCCATGATTATGGTAAATGTGTAGAAGCTAATGGCTCATCATACAAATTGCTGGTTCTCCCTAATACCACTTTGGTTACTACCACCATGTCTACAACAACAACAACCACCACTGCACCACCAACAACAACCACCACTATGAGCCGGATTGACACAATGCCACATCAGAAGAACTTGCCACAAAGACGAGGTAGGTAAAATTCTCATGTTTATATTAGCTACTTGTTGTCTATTTGTGTAGACTTCTTGTTGAACATGAGTCTGCAAGTATGCCAAGTGGTGCTACTGCAGTTTCAGTAGCAAGTGAATTTTTATAAGGTCAGAGTTCAAACCAGTTACCCAAGATGGACTACTTTATAGAGTTAGAACCTCAGTTGTCCTACTATTGCAAGGAAAGGTTGATTCATGCCTTTCTTAAGAGCATTAGAGTGCATTATGAGGTAAGGCCAAGAGAATTTAACACTAATTAAACTTGGAAAAGAAAAAAAAGAAACGACAAATAACTGACATCGTGTGAATGAATGCTAAAAGAAGGATGAAGAGAGATGGTAAAAGATCAGAATTTACTTAGAGCAACAAAAGGAAGTTGTGGAGAGTTATGATCGTTTATATCCTGAAGGTATGTGGCAGTAGTAGTAAATGAATGTCAGAATAGGAACAAAGGGGGAGGTTAAAGGGTTAAAAGTTACTTAGAGTAACAAAAGAGAGGAAATTGTGGAGAGCCATGATCGCTTATATCCTGAAGGGAATGATACATAAAAATAATGAATGGATGGTAGAACAGGCACAAACTGAGAGGTGTTGTGTTCTTCAGCCTTCTCTCAATTCAGGTAACCTTTGAGGAATTTAAAACTAAACCAATTACTTAACCCATGGCGATAGATTGTTCTCATTCCACTGTCGATATCTGAAGATATCTCATCTTGTTCATATTCACTACTGTCTCAGTTATTGCATGCCCTGTTTCCACTGAGTCTAAATATAATGGATTAAAGTGTTAGTTCATTAATTTAATGACATAGTAATTGTGAGTTCAATCCTTGGACTGGGTAGTGCAGACTTGAATTCTATGGAAACAGGTTGAGTAATAATTAAACAGCACTACAATAAGAGAAGGGCTGGATTTAGATGAAGTAAACTTTTAAGTCAGGGGCTGGCAACCTTTTGCTGACTTAGGCTTTTAAAATCATTCAGTGTGTCAACAACATGCATATTTTTATACAAGTCAAGGTCAATATACCTGTCCTACAATATATTTTATATAGTAATATATACAATAATATGCAACCACATTACTAGAAATAAACTATTTTTAAAAGCTTTTTTTTTTTTTATTATCAGTGGGAGTTCAATGAGTGAGCAGTTTTGAAACTGCTAAATATCTTCTTTGTATTGTAGTAGTTATTGGTTCGGATTTTGTGATGTCATTTGTGGCTGCGTGCAATTGGAAATTGCTTGGTGTGCCACATGTGGCATGTATACAGTAGATTGAGAACTCCTACCCTAGGCTATTGCAATTGTGATACCCCTCTAAATTCCCTATTCTCACAAGTAGAGGAAAATGGAAGGGTGTTAAATTAATTTGAGTAAAGCTGAGGATGATGATGGGTGTTTAAAATTACTGAAGGGTTATTTAGAGTCTACAATGCATTATGACAGCATGTGTAAGAAATGCCTATGCCGGTGTCAAAAATATTATACACCTTGGCTGAAGGCACCCTAGATTTGGAGACCCTAGGTTTCAGCCTATAGGTAAATCTAGCACTGAAGATGAGATATCCTTAGGCAGTGCTAGAACACTCTTTGCCCATAGATTAAATAAAAGGTTCAGTTTGAAATTCCCTCATAGTTTCCTGGGATTGATAAGCATCTGATGAAGGCTGGCGGTTAGAACAACCAAAGATTTGTTATGACAACAAAGATGAGTACAATAATTTGCATGTTGTGCAGAAGAAATCCACTTCCCTTAAAAAAGGCTGAGAGCATGCACCTGCTGATGCCATTGGCTCCATGATACAAAGAAAACCCAGGGCAAACTAATTCTGGAGTTTATAACAGAAAAAAGTTGATGGAATAGTGTGGATATCCTGCAGGGTTGATGGAATGTGGATGTGTTGCCTACATATTAGCATACCTGCCTTGAAACATATAAAGTGAGTAGGAGTGAACAAGGTAGAAGGAAGAAAGCTGATTGCAGGTAAAGCAAATTTGCACCTTCATAAATTTGCAACTGTTTTATTTTTTTACTATATGCTGTAAATAATACAAATTCTTCATTCCAGAAATTCTCACCTTGGTTTCCACCATCTGCACAAGCTATTCAAATTTCCAAAATTCTTGGGTAGCAGTTTGTCGGCAATGTTAGACATTTATTTGCTTGTAATGTTCGCTCATCCAATAAAATATGGTGCTACTGAAATATTTCAGATTTGTTTATCTTCATTATATACATTCAAACTAATATCCTCAACTTCATTACTATCCAAATGTTTCAGCTCTTGTGATCTTTAGATGTCTGCCAATCCAGGTAATATTCAGGGAATATTCAACTGGACGTTTTATTTAATCTATGGGAACAGATTGTTCTCATTCCACTGTCCTTGTCTAGAGATATCCTGTCTTTTTCTTTTTCAGTGATTACTGGTTCAGTTTCTACTCGGTCTGAATTTGCATTATGTTTTTGACGGAAAGACAATCTGCATGATTCTAAAACTTCTTTGCAATATGACTTGTACTGTTGGCATATTCATTTAATAATGAAGTGAAAACTGGATGATGCTATATGAACCATAAAAAGTACCCGAAAGTCCATTTTTTTAATTATTTTATAGATGTTTGTAAATATATTTAAATAAAATTAATGCATAGGTTTATTTTCAGGCCCACAGAGAGGGCGTGTATCTTATAATAGAGATGTAAGCAGTATCCAGAGACTGCAAGAAGGTAAGTCAATTTGAAGAAAATATTACCTACAAATTACCTGTGTGCCTTCTGTTGATCAAATTAACCTATAATGTTTTAAATTTGCTTACAGTCAGCCTGATTCCAAAATGGCATATGTTGGGCTATGGCCTCTCAGAGTAAAGTCAAAAAAGTGTGACACATTGACATTTGCATTTATTATAGAGTAATCTATTAATATATAGTGATTCTCTAGAGGGACCAGTTTATTACTAAATAGCAGTATAAAATTGCGAGATAAAATGTAATTTGTCCGCCCAAAGACAGATACTACCCTTAGTATTTACCTGTTGCCCTACGTTAACGTTTTATGTCGGGAGCCTGTGCACGTGCATCTGGGCCAGGTCCGAAAATAACCCAGTCCCTGCAACTGTCGGTATTACTACCAATCCTCTCCCCATCTTTAGTGCATTGAGGGAAGTACTGCCACAGGCAGCTGTTCCCTGAGACTGGGCACCTCCCAATAATATTTTCAGTTGCACTCTGTCTGCGAGCACACTCACAGTTGAGAGACAAAATGTAGTTGTTGTGGGCCAGTGTATGTGTTGAGAGATAAACAAAAAAGATGAAAAGAAATGACAAGAATCAATATATATCTATAAACAAATAATAATGTATTAACAGTAAAGGGTTACAATTGACAAAGGTGTGTGTGTGTCAAATGAATGTGAAAATCTAATGGTCCAAAATATGTGTAGTGAGTGACTGTGCATATGTATGTATGTGTGTGTGTGTAGTTCATGGAACGTGTTCTCTGCAAGAAAGTTACATGTTGACGAGTAAGCAGAAAAGGTAAGAAGAGAAAGCAAGAAAAAATATCGCTGACTATTTATAGTCCAGAAAATGTCTCCTAGGAGCAGTTTAAAAAATTATGAGGAAGTAACCCACCATAGTTTATCCACCTGTGGACAGATACTACACATTGATCCCAGCTCAGTTATCAGGAAGTGAAGAAGAGCCTAACTCAAGCAAGTAGCTCTGGATATGGAATGAATATGGAATGTTTCCTTATGAGAAAGTTGGTTCACTGTGTCATGCAAGACAATTTTTCTTTCCAGAATCTATCTTATCTATAAGTCTACTATTTGTCCATGCTTAGAATATGATTAGAATATTGCTGCCACAAATGGTCCAGTGCCCCAGCTATTGAGCGCCTTGATAAAATGCGAAGAATCAGCAATATTATTAGTCCTGATCTGTCAGCTAGGCTTCAGTCACTTCCCATCATCGTCAAGTTACCTCCCTGTATCTTTTCTATAAATAAAGGGTGTTTCATTAAGATGGATTATATATATATAAGTGTGTTTCATTAAGACAGATCTAAGTCAGCAGTAAATAAATCAGTGTTATTGGTGAAAATTTATTTATTTCTCTATTGGATCATGTTATCTAAGTCATGGCAATTATGTGTGAAAAATAATATCACCCAAATGTCTTCCAAATCTGAAAGAAAAAGAAAAAAATCATTAGACGCTTAAACTTAATTCACATTTAAAATCAGTCCAAGTTATTGGAACACTCTTTACTTTCATGGTAATTATTTGAATGAGTTCTTCACTATGGTACCTAGACTTTTTGAATTTATGTGCAGTACTAGACTGGCATCAAGATCCCATCAAATTACAGTTGAGCTGGCTAGATGCAACCATAAATTCTATGCTCATGGTTTCTTTTCTTGCACTTCTCACTTGTGGAACTCCCTTCCAGCTCCATGATTTCCAGCAAACTTTAATCTCCAAAAATTTAAATGCAATATCAACTGCTGTCTTATGCCCTCCTGATTACTCTTTTCTTTTCTGGCTCTCATTATTAATTTTTCTGTTTCTGATTCTTCCACACCCTGTAACCCCTTGTGTCTTAGTGGCTTTATGGGGTGATACCAATTTAAAAAAAAAAAAAAAATAAAGGAAATGTTTGTTATTACCATTACCATTTTATGTGAATGTTACCAAAAATGGAAACGTGATAAGAATGAAAAGGTGTTTTTTTTTTTTTGTTTTTTGTTTTTTTTAATTTTCTGAAGTTTTTAAAACAGTTCCATCAGAAAGAGTAATGATATTCCTAAGTTATGTGTTATATAGGAATAAAGTGTCGTTGCCAACACTTGAGTTTGAACATAGATCGCCAGTGTGAAAACACAGGGGATCCTATTATTGAATTAAGTGGATCACACGACAGTGGGAAACACACATAATTAGATAGTAATATGGCGACTAAACGATCACTTTTTCTACTCTATTCTCTATTACTATACAGATTGCTATTCTCTTTACTATTTGCTATGCTATTTCTCTATTCAGATCACTATACGGATTACTATTCGAGCGAGTATTATCAAGCAAGTACTATTAGTGCGAGTGCTATTCAAAAGCATCTGACACCAGCATTTTTCAATGATGTGCTGTAATTGTATCAGTGATTACAAAGTCTACTACAATAAGCATTACAAAAGTGACAACAAGTATTCATTGACATTTTCAAAAGTGGCAATGAATGTTCATTGACATCACAAATTATGATGAATTAATAAATCCTGTTGAAAAACTGTGGCAGATTGACTGAGCAAATCTATAGAAATTCTCATTAACTCTCAAATTGACACAGCAGGCACTTGAAATATTTATAGAAATTAATTGGAAATTATTCAGCTAGAGAAAAACTTAGCAAATTAATATGTGAATGATTTGCTTATGGTTTTAACACTAGGATGGCCAGCTCCTTTGACATCTTTATTTACATTATGCCATGAAGCAGCCATCTGTAATATATTCAATATTCAAGTCAGGAATAACAAGTCTGAAAAGAAATTCACAAATATTAATATACCTCATACTGAAAGAAAGTGATTATATATATATAAATATATATATATATAATTATTTTTTATAAAAAAATTATAACATAAGTATGTTATAAAATCACTACAAAAATAGCCGTTTTGTTTCAACACACTGTGTCTTATCAAGTGATGATGTTGAAAAGAAAATAAATGGTTTTAAAAGTTTCAGATTAATTAACGATCCTACACTAGGGGGAAACATTGTTACAAAAGCTAGAATAACCAATCAAAAACGAAGTATAGAAAGATTCAAAAGCTTGACAACGAAGTCATGCTATAATAGCTATTCAGATCTTTAAATACGTGTAATATTAAAAATAATTTATACTAACTAATAATTATAAAATTATATGATAAGATTTAATATTAAAATTAAAAACTGGCAATTTTAAAATCCAAATTTAATCACTATTAAGTTTAAAAACTACAAAATTATTGAGAAAAGAAAAAATATATATGTTTATTCAATTCATTTCTTCATTGAAATTACGTTCGACAAGACGCTACAATACATCCGGTCATTTGACAATACATGTATATATATTTTTTTCTTTTTCCCTTTCTTTTCCGTTTTTTTTTCCGTTTTTATTTTAAAGTTTGTTAAATATATATTGTGTGTGTATAGATAGATAGATAGATAGGGGACATAAACACAAGTATTATTGCTTGTGAGAAATTTTTCAATGCATTTACCCTATAAATAGCCTAGGTGTCAAAAACGACACCTCGCCCATTCAAGGTAAAACCTAAAATATCAGCTATTCCACTGAATATTTTTTAAAGAATTAAGTCTGTTAAGCATCTTTGCTAAAATTCAATAATTGTCCATAAGCCTCAGCATCAAACCAAAACTAGTTATTCCATAGTAATTTATGGAAAATTTGAAGATGTCGAAAACGACACCTCGGCCATCCTAGTGGTAATATAAAAAAATTATTGTAAATTATTTTAATATTAGCTCTGATATCACATGTAGGATTTACTAAATAGACCCAGAATAACTTCCATTCATTTAATTGATTACATTTGCACAGCAAATAATGAAAACTGTATGTAGAAATGGAAATGATTTTACTAAAAGAATACATTACAAATTCCTTGACCAGATGATGACTAGAATTATGATATACTTCACAATGAATTTGGAAGTTCTGCAGTTAATTCTGCTGGTAGAAATTGTGGAAGTTTCCAACAAATTCATGACAAAAATTTATATTAGTTTTTTTTTAATATGATTGCAAATTTTTGTTTCTCTTTTGACAGGTGTTCATGAAATGAAAGGCGGCCATGGTCGACAAATACCAGGTAAGTAGATGTGAATTATTTTTTTCAGGGATTTCATACACTTGTATGTATATATATATATATAGTGAGTTCCCCATATTCATGGGGCAATAGTTAAAATCTGCAAATACTTGTAACCCCCACTAAAAGTGCTTATAAGTACCTATTTTGATTGTTAAAACCCCATATGCTTTAAATTTTCATCCTAAACGTTTTAGAAACATTTCAGACCCTTTCTTAAAACATTTTTGAAAAATAGTATTGGTGACCATACACTTAGCATAAATTTTCTTTCATACATACAGTAATCGTTTTTAATTTACACATAGGTCGATACAACTATTGAAAATACTGTATAAAATATGTGTAAGAAAAAATATAAAGTTTAAAAACATTTTCTAAAAACAGAACTGTGATGATTCCCTCAGACTTAATATAAGACCCTAACTGCAGCCCTTAACAAAGAACAAAGCCCAAGCACTATGCATATTTTTGCATTTGTTTTTTTTTTACAATGAAGATGTGTAATTCTGCCAATTTTTACCATAAAAATAGACTGTTCTATGTGTTAAGTCACTTAAATAACAGGAAAATAATACAAGAATATTTTAAATATGTTCTATCAAAAAAATATGTGAATCGAGGGAGTTCTCGGCGAATAATTTGTATGTTCTTCAGAAAAATATGTGAATATTCAAGATTTCTGCAAACAACAAGTACATATGTTCTAAAGAATAATCCGCAGATGTGTGAAGCTGTGAATAGGCAAGGGCTCACTATTTTGGCAGCATCTTTTTGTTAAGATGTGTCACATTGAATAATTTAGAGGATCCTATTGAAAATAAGTAGTCAAAACTTGTCTAAATTATTCAATGAGACATATTATCTCAGTGGTGACTTTAGGTCATCAGTGTTATTAGGCTCATTACAATCTTTAACAAAATTTACTATTAGTATAACTTAGATGCTAAAATTATTCCTTTATTCTAACTAAAATATATCATTTTTAAAAATTTCTGTGCATGAAATTAAAAAAAAAGCACATTTTGGTATTTTAATATTAATTGTAATAATTCTATAAAAAATTTTCAGACATGTTAAACAAGTATGTGTTTGTATATATGTCTATGCATTAGTGTGTTTACGTATCCATTTATTGTACATTTATGATCAGTTTTATATCATATTTCCTCAACGCTAACCCAGTCACACTCCTCACTCTAACCCTCCCGTCAACTAGTTAAGGCTTTCACTTACTTTTATTTTCGCCGACTTTAAGTTGGGCTAAATTATTAAAGTTATGCCCTTTTTCAATTGATACATTCTGCTAAAAAAAACCTGGAATAAGTAAAACCTACGTAAATTTTATTTCATTCTTTTTGTACTTTGTTTTTTTCTTTTTCTTTCTTTCTTATGAACAATATCAATGAAATGTATTCCAGTCAATATTTTGAGGCATGGAGTTAAAACAATTCATTTTGGATCCAGCTGAAGTCAAGATTGAAAACAACACACTACAAAAGATTTTTGTTGCTTTAAAATAGATATACTTGAATGTTGACTGGCTCAGGCCAAGTCCAACCTCAGAGTTGCCACTGACACACATGCACACATATATATACACACACACATGCACTAGTATAAAAAGAATACTCTTTGTATGCAATCTTAAAAAGACCAAATGTTGACTTTTGTTTCATTTATTTCAAAATCTTTTAACACATTTGTCATTTTATTCAAGAATAATTCTAAAATTTCAGCAAGCCGATCAAATTCCTTGAGATTAAAATTCCCAAGGTCATGAGCCTAACTTTGTGGATTACATTTGATCTATGCAGAAGAGATGTCAAGAAGAAATGGCATCTCAAGTACAATGATTTTCTGCTGCTAAAAATTTTTCAGCTTTGTTTTTAAAAACAAGCTGGAATGGTAGCAAACAAAATATTATGACTGATTCATATTGACCCATTTTTTTCACATTGGGCAGTGGTTCAATTCTTGTATAATGGTGTTGCTAATCAGCAATTTAATCCGATTCAATGGTCGATAACCAATTTGTTGCTCGTTTTTCTTTTTGGCACTGACTATTGCTGATTAGTGTGATGGTCAGTTTGTGTCTGGCTGTTGATTGTGACTTGGTCATTTCTTTTGGCATAATTTTTTTTTTTTTTTTTTTTGTTTACCAGGTTATTTATGAATATTTCTTTGACTCTTTAGATAATATTTGAGATAGATTAAGTTTATTTTGCAAATATACAAATACAGTAGAATCCAAAACATTGAGAAATTAACATTTCTGGCATTAACTCAGACCTGGTTCCAATGTTGGGTTAGAATCTATTACTTGTACTTTCAACTCACTGCTTATACTCCTTCTAAAAGCTTTCTAAAGGTACTCTGAACTCACTTGCTTTTTACTCCTCTAAAAGGCTTTCTCCCTCCTTACAGCTATTAGACTCCACTGTGGTGTCTAGGGCCACAGCCTCATAACAGTGTTGTTGCTGTGGTTTCTGTAGGAAGTAGGTTTTTATGTGCTGAAGTTGCCAGTTTTAAATTCAGAGTCATCCTTCTCAGAGACAGTTTGCCAATTATGGCTAGAAAGCCCAGTCTACTATTTAACCCATATTTGGGGAGGGAAAATAGATTCATACCTTTACCAAGAGTATCTGAAAGTGAATGCAACAAGCTCGGACAGAAATAGACCTCAGCACACTGATCCCATTTGCTGCACTAATAGCTACTATGCTATGTGCAAATGTTCTAAAAGCTTTCATTTTTACTACAATTCAACACCATTATATTGAACAGTCATAAGTACATTTCCATAGATGATGGGTTGGGGGTAATAATATTGCTTCACATTGGATTAACACCTGTATTAAGTCTCAGGACTGCCATCATGTCACGTTTACCGTAGATCTTTTCTTCATTGTATTTATACTGCATTTTTACTACTCATTAAAATTAGTTTCAACCTCAGAGCATGTGCTAAAATGTCTTTGAACACTGACTAAAAACCTTGTAAAATCACTTCCACCACCATCTCAAGTGAATCTGTTTTATTTCAAGCTCTAGACCGTTAACACCAGCTGTCTCTTAATTTTTATCTTTTTTGCTTGAAAACGACCAACATTTGTCAAAAAACATGGGACATTGCACACAATTTCAGCAAATGTCTTTACATGTTTCCACCAGACATCAGGAGAAAACTCACCAAAAGACTTAGGACTTTTTTTGCCTATTCTATTCAATAAAACATTAGTCCTGGTTATGACGATAAACTACATCTGGCAGCAACACTTCTGATCTGGAGATCAGATGTTTTGAGAAATGTGGAATCACCTGTTAATTGCTGTTGTTCTCAGGTGCACCCTAACTCAGGGTTGTAGAACCTATTAGTGTCCCAGTTATAGGCAAATACAGAACCCCCAAACAAAACACTATGAAAGTATAAAAATACATTTTTTTTAAAATTACCAACAAAACATATTTATAGTAAAATTACTAACACTATCCACATACTAGCAAATTGTAATGACTTCACCCAAATCTATTTAAAATACTGCCAAACAACCAACATGAAAGAATCCTGACATTAAGCTTTATCATAACTTATAATTTCTTAAAGAAATCAAACTGTATTCAAAATATAACTACAACATAAAACACACATATCACCGCCTCTAGTAATCATGTCAACACAGACATGTATATGCATAAAAGCATCTACCATGTATTCAATTGTGAAAGCGGAATGGCATGTATCATATATTTATTACTTCTAAGCTCTCAATAAAATTAGATTTCAGCATTGACTTGATATGCAATTAAATAGACAAATTAATGAATCAATCAATAATAGATGATATAAAAGTTGTTTTAATTACGCAGCTGAAACATGTTTATCATATTTTATATTGAGTTTCTATTTTTTTCCTTGCAAGAATTTTCATTTATTTTACATTTTATGACTTAACAACATGCATCAAAAAAAAAGAATTGTTGTCTGCTGAAATATAAGACAGAAACTATAAGATTTGTTTTGACGGAAGGGATTAAAATGTGCTGACTACATCTTGGCAGACTCTGGTATAAACATAATCTATGTCTATTTTTTTATTCCAATGTGTAAACTAGACCTCTATCTACCATTTTTGGCTGCTGGGTTTAAACTGGATCTACATCTATCATTTTTAACCACATTTATAAAATGGACTTTTGTCTACCATCTTTGACTCTAGGGTATAAACTGGACCTATGTCTTTCTTTTTTTTTTTTTACTGTTATTTTTTGCGTGTATTCCTGTAACAAAACATACATATATATATATATATATATATATATAACAGCTGTTTAAAAGCCTTGTTTTTGTCATATAGAAAAATCCAACATGGCACGTAAATGAAATATTCGGCATAAAATCTCATTCGTCAGTAACATTTTAAACACCTCATAGAATGTAAAGTTCTTAAAGCAAACCTATGCCAAACTGTTTTCCTGAATCCTTGATGACTTGGATGTCCGAAAATGATAATATCAAGATGAAATAATGGAAACTGACCATGAAAAATACAATTATGCGCAACAGGTTTTCGATCAATTAGTAAACTTCTGGACCTTTTAGGGCAACATTATAGGATCCAGATGGCTATTGTTTACACATGGAATTATTCACTGGTAATTAATCTTCGATTTGGCTGTGGAAAATGTTGCTTGGTGGTTAGCATTAGAAAATTATGCCCAATTTTATGAGAAAAATCACCATATTTTAATGAAAAAATATTTATTTTTGCTTCAAAAATGGCCCTGGCGATATACAGTGAAAAAAACAATGTCGTCTGCTAGGTGGTGTTGTCATCACCCGGGTCACGGGGTGTTAAAAAACAAAACAAAACACATCAAGCCATTGATCAAACATAGGTTATATCAAGCCCTAGTAATGTTGACCCCCCCTTTTTTTTTTTCACTTTTTGCTTTTATCTGGGAGTGGTGGGTTTTATTACAACTTGTTCTAATGTTTATTGCTGGCTGGCTGACCTTTGACCCAGAGATGTCAAAGTCAATTTGGTTTAATTTTCCTTATCACTGCTATTTTTTTTGAAAAAAAAACTTTTGGTTTCTGGTGGTTAGGAATTGCAGATAAATCTCTTGCCTTTTACTAAAGATTTCCGTGGTGGCCAGGTGTCAATTTTTTTAACCCTTGGCAGTCATATAATTGAAAATTACCAATGGACTTTGTCGCATTTTGACTCCCTAGGAATGTTGATTTCCTTCAAAACTCAATTTTATGCCTGAAATAGTTTATGATTTAGGCTTTCTGATTTTCCAAAAAAAAATGGTTAATTTTCCATTAATGCAGAACATTTTTGCTTAGAACTAGAAAAAATGCAAAATTTTCACTATTTTTTCTCATTTTACACCCTGAAAAAAATTTTGAGTCATTTACACCTGCCAATTTTACTTTTAAATGAAAGAATGTATCCTTTGCTTTCAGAAAATACCTCGTTTCATGAGGTTCAGATCAAAAGTTTCCTTGATATTTGTTTAGGTGATGATAAAACAGTCATTTTTCAATATTTTACCCCTATAAAAGTATAAAAATCCATTTTTTGAGAGAAAATAAGCTGTGACAAAATGACTTTTGCCATTTTTGTGGTTATTTTTACTTGGGAAAGAAAATTTTTACCATAGCAAACCTGAATTGACTTTATTTAAGTTCAGTGGGGCTATAAGAAACCTCATACAGCTGTGATATATATATATATATATATCTCCAAGTATAGGATTGGTGTATATGGAATAAATTCCAATAACCAACAAATACTATTCTTAAAAGAGTGCTCAATACAGAGTAGAGCAAATATAATTATTTATTCGAAAATTATAAAATACATATGTTATAAAATCACTACAAAAATAGCCATTTTGTTTCAACACTTCTGGTGTCTTATCAAGTGATGGTGTTGAATGACACCAAAAGTGTTGAAACAAAATGGCTATTTTTGTAATGATTTTATAACATATTTATGTTATAATTTTCAAATAAATAATTATATATATATATATATATATATGTTTTGAATGATGCTATCTCATTATTGCTACTTCATTTATATTATCATTATTTTTTGTACAGATTTTGGGAAAACTATTCCAGTTGAGAAAGGTAAGTTTTCTCATTTATTATCTCCATTTCCATCTGTCTACTTAAGATTAAATAATTTAATATTAAGAAAGCTTTATTAGTACATTTATTATTAATTTTATTTAAATGGTAACTCTAATAAAAAAAAAACGAAAAATCATTGGTTATTCAACTTGCAATGAATCAAACTTTTATTAAATCCTAAACTGTACAACTTTATCCTTCATAATGTTAACTCAAACTTCATCAGGTTCTCTTATCGTAATTTTAATCTATCTGATCTAATAGGTCCTGTTAATTTTTAACCTAGTAGGTGAATAAAGTATTTCTTTTTATTACTGCTCTGTTATTGCTCATCCTGTTTCCACTGACTCTGTACAACCCAGCCCAGCCCAGCCCAGGGATTGAACTCACAATTATTGTGCCACAAAATTCACAAACTAGTGATTTAATCCTCTAGCCTATTGTTCCTTGGAACAGTCCTAAGGCTAGAATTTAGAGGCTTAACCTAATGTTGTTCTTATGAATATTTGTTATATAAAATTTTTTTTTTTTTTAATCACATTGTATACTAACTATATTGGTGTTGTATCATAAATAGCAAAGGTTGAAATATATACAGAAAATAAGTAGTAGCTTATTCTGGAGAATAATATGGTACACAGTTGAGAAAACAGACTAATGTAATAAACAGTTAATCGTTAACTCCTCTCCCTCAGTAAGAGAGAGTGCTGTTTAAATAGTATTAAACCAGCTTATCTTGTGGGGGTGTTCAGTTACTCCACAACAATTGATTTTTTTTTTTTTTTTTTTTTTTTTTTTGCTAAGTCACTGCCATATACTCATAATCCTGCGGAGCCTATTTTTTGTACCTGATTGGGAAAGGGTAAAATATCAAGTTGAAAATAAGATTAAAAAGTAGCAGCAGCATGAAGTGTACATTTGGGCAAACACCTGAAAGGGGAAAAAAAATTAAGTTAGAGATGCCAACAGAAATTTCAAATAATGCTGAAGAACTGTCGTGGGCATGTACCCTGTAAGCCTCTTCTTTGAATCTTGTTAATTGGCACTACAGGATCACAAGCGGTACCAAATAACAGAAAATATATCACTGGTAGACTTTCAACAGCTGAACTGGATAATGACATTCTCAGGATGTTGACATTCTACACTTCAGCAAATACAAGGCTATGAAGGAACCCCCCCACACACACACACACACATCAATACTGGAATAAACTTATTTTCCTGAAAAATTGTTTAAAGAGAAAGATTTTATAAATTTAAACTAAAAGTAGTACAAGCTGCTTGGTCAGTGAATGCCAAATATTTCCTTATAAGGAAATGGCTAATATTACCATTTGTAAAGTATGAGTAGCAGAAATAGGTGTGTCTCAAGCAAGGTAGCCAGATGGAGTTCATGTCTGGTTGGTGGTTGTTCTAGACTAGTTGCCCTATCAATGCTAGATGGTTCAGTCTGCCCTACTATTTCCCCTATTGGGAGAAGAGGTTATTTCCTAGAGGTATGAATACAAAACACAATCTCAGTTGGAATCGGAACTCGAGTTTCCCAATTCCATTTTCTGTGGCCTATAATAATCATGCCACGCCCATCTCCAATCACAAGTGTCAAATTTTAAGATGGTTTTAATAGAGTACTTTTCATAAGACATGCACCCACTTTAGTAATGAATAAATCTGTTTTGAGGCCCTGTCAGTGATTCTGCTGTATCTTTCAACTGAAACCTCATTATTTTGTCACAGGTAAAAAGAACCATGACACAATAATTACTGCAACTGTAAAGACATTTGAAGAACATATTGTTAGCAAGAGCCGGCGTAAAATCACACTAGATCCTAATGATACACTGAGTGCAATGAATGGACCATCCCTTGTTGTGAAACCAGGTGTTCTTTCACAGGGACGAGATTATCTCATCACTGTGAATGTCACGAAGAAAGGTAAATACCTTTAACTGTTTGTCTATGAATTTTATCTAATTTATTTACTTTGTTTAAATTTTAATTGGTCAGCAAACATTCCTTTCTGGTTTTCCTTTATCTCTCTCCTTTCCTGCTCTTTCTCTCTCTCTCTCTCTCACACATACACACACACACACACACACATATATATATATATATAAAATATCAAGCGTTCAATTGGATGTACACTCTTACGCTGCAAAGACAAATTGAAAGACAACTTGAAACATCTCAACTTTGATCTGAAAGCCTGAGAAGCCTAAGATGATAGTCTGAGCAATGTAAATAGTGAAAAAATATACTGATTATGAAATTTGTTTTTTTAATAATTTATCTTTTTAGAAGGTATTTTCTTTTAAAAAATGTTAAATTTTCGTTTAGTTCACAGTTAAAAAAAAAAAATCAAAATAGGAACAAATGTTATATTTTATACAAAATTAATGAAAAATCATTTGTTAAAAACATTAAGTAAATGTTAATTACATTCAAGAAATTTCATCAGATTTTTTTTTTAGATATTATAAATGAAGTGTATAAAATGTTGGTAACCCTAACCCTACTGCTAAACAGTAACCCTCTACCTTGAGTGATTCTTGGGCCTTGTATTGAGTGAACATTAGTCAAGAATATATTAATTGTAATAAGATCTTAAGAAAGAAAAAAGGAGTGGCATAAGACATGTTTCTTTAAGTTAAAGGGTTTTGATGCACTGTGATCAGCTTCAAGCTCTGAAGCAGACACACCATCAAAATCATGCTTTAACAAATTTCATCTGTCAGTGTGGCTTTGTCGCTCACAACAAGGCTGTGGGCTAGTATCGCACTTAAGAAAGCACAAATGAAATGTGGCTTTCCCTTACTTGATTTTCTTCACAATAGCCCCTGCAAGTAAACATAAGTGTAAAACAAAAGGCACCATCCACTGCTGGCCTTCATTTATCATTCACGATAGGAGAGTCCAGCATATATTAATCTATATATGGGCAGCAACCTTTCTTTCAAACATCTTTTGTTAAATATGACAAACAAGAAAAATTTAATTTTTTATTTACTTTTTTCCAGCATTTTTCCATTTGGTGGGAGTGTAAAAATTGTCTGTATTATCCCAAGCAGTTTTGGCCACTTCTTTAGCCATTTTCAAAGGGATTTGTTTTAGGTGTTGTTAATTTCTCTTTATGTTTAAGATGTATTTTTCTTTTAATACTAGTAGGAGCATTTATTCTGACCCTTTGCATGTTGAGCATGGTCAGAATTCGAGTGTCTTTCTATTCTTTAAAAACCTTTCAACACACCATTCCCACTGTTAAATAAGGTGAGATTAATAGTGGGAGAGAGATGTTTAATATACAGGGCCTCTCTTATAGCGAGATGTTTCTGGTAATGGGATATAAATATTCATTCACATGGTTTTTCTTTCATGTTTTTCTCACTTACTTACTTTGTATTTTTGCTCTTTTTTTTTACTTCCCCTCTTTCTTGTCTTCTTGCTCCTCCTCATCCTTTCAAGTTTGCTGTCCTCCACCTCCTTGCAATTCCCCCATTCATTTTTTCTTGTTTATTGTCATATAGTTTTCTTTATCAGATAGAAAGTGCTCTCCTTTTTTACTATGGTTTGAATATTTTTTTTTTTGTCAGGTAATGGAACCGCACCAGTATTCTATGGGATTGCAATGTCTCACTTCCTTATCAATGAGAGTCCCAGCCTTGGTAGTTGCAACATTCGACCAGCTGCAGGAATTGAAATGCATACAAATTTCAGTGTCTTTTGTTATGAATGGAAAGATGAAGTAAGCATTTGGTTTTATTTATTTAATTTTTTTTTTTGTTTTGAGTTGGCACCCGCTCGCATCCGAACATTGAGATCGTCATCCTCTCTGTCCTTATTTCCTTCAGTCCACCCCTGGCATTGCATGGGGGTTATTTAGTACAGCATGCTCATTATATTTCAAATGATTTTCTCCGTGACACAATTATTGTATTCCACATTTATTCAGCTGTAGCAATGAAGGAGAAAACCAAGTCTTACTGCAGAAAAAGAATTTGTGTTCTCTGTGCTATCTGTTGAAATCAGAATTAAGATAGTTAACTTTAGCAGGCTTTGAAATATGGTAATTGTTTGCACTTCTGTACCTGCCTCAACCAATCACAACGCTTCTTAACCCAATAAAAGCTCTCTACTTTGGACCACAGAGTTGTTTGGTACTTGATGGATAAAGAAGGTAATTGTGTGTTGTGATGGGAATTTTATATTATTTTGGTTTACTGACATATTCTTACATTGGATTTGCAAGACAGATTTATGACTCTTGGAATTATGGCCTTTGATTTTTTTGGATCTGAACCTCCCTATTGCTATTTACCCCTGTTTCAAATAAACAGGGTGGTTGAAATAAGCAGTGTCTGAAATTCTTTTTTTGTAGTTAGTAAAAAAATGCTTTGTCTTAAATGCTCTGAATTGGTGAGAGGTAATGTTACAATAAAGATGTCCTGAGTGGATCTTTCTCGAAAGAATAGTGATCTTTCCAGCCTATATATTTGATGATACATAGATGATTGTAGTTGCAAGCATGATGATGGCATTGAAGCAATATTCAGATTTCTTTGTACATTTCTGGTTGCCATTTTTTTCCCACTTTATTACAGATCTTTCATAGCTGTCTTTATTCATGTTGTGGTGTAATGTGCATCTCATGCCCCAAACTAGAGGCCTATTTCAAATCTCATTCCAGTGAGAGCAAAGGTTTTCAGTAATTTCTTGCTGCTGTCAGATATTCAAAGAAAAAAGAGATTAAGAACATAATTTAACTTGAAAACTTAATCCTCTTTATCTTGGTATAATTTTTCTTTCTTACGGTCTTATTACAATTAATATATTCTTGACTAATGTTCACTCAATACAAGGCCCAAGAATCACTCAAGGTAAAGTGTTATTGTTTAGCAGTAGGGTTAGGGTTACCAACATTTTATACACTTCATTTATAATATCTAAAAAAAAAAATCTGATGAAATTTATTGAATGTAATTAACGTTTACTTAATGCTTTTAATAAATGATTTTTTATTAATTTTGTATAAAATATAACATTTGTTCCTATTTTGAATTTTTTTTTTTTTTTTTAACTGAACTAAACGAAAATTTTAACATTTTTTAAAAGAAAACTTCTAAAAAGATAAATTATTAAAAAAATTAAATTTCTTAATCAGTATATTTTTTTTACTATTTACATTGCTCAGACTATCATCTTCATCTTTGTTGCCATAACATTTCGGCTGTTGTACGCTCCAGCCTTCTCCGGTTGGAATATCGAACTGAACTCTTTATTTTGCTCGCTGGGGTAGACTATTCTAGTTCTACATGCCATGTCTAATGGATGTCAGTTTTCAGTTATCTCCTGTTAATTTTTCTCTCCAAGTTCTCCACCACCTTAACCAGGTATTGGGTAAAGGCATTAGTTAGATCCAGTGACAGTACTCAAAGAGTGAGAGTTCAATACTTGGTTAAGGCGCTGGAGAACTTGGAGATGGGAATTAACAGGAGATAACTGACATCCATTAGGCATGGAACTAGAACAGTCTAGCCCAGCGAGCAAAATAAAGGTTTCAGTTCAAGATTCCAACCCCCTGAAGAAAGCTGGAGTGTACAACAGCTGAAACGTTGTGATAAATATGACAACAAAAATGAGGACGATAGTTCGAATAATGTAAATAGTGTACATAATACCTCATCTCGGAAATATAGATGGATATATTTTTTTGTTATGAATACCAATATCATGGAGAAAAATATTAAATTAACTTTGTTTTTAATAAGTTTTTCAGTGTAAAAACAAAATCAAAAAAGTTTTTGGAAGAGAAGTCTGTTCACAATTGAACATAGCAAAAAATCAATAAAATTAACTTTCTTGTAAGTTGTAATAAAACTAGAAAAAAATCAATTAATAAATTATTTTTTTAAATCAAGTAAAATTAAAATGTTAAATTTCAGTATAAGAAGTGTGATAAAAATTCAACATACTTTTTTTTCATCTTTTAGAAACAGAAATACACATTATGCAGTTAATAAATAAAGTTGGCCATTAGTGGATTTGTTTTCATTACTAAAAATTTTATAAAAAATATTAACTTTAATTGAAAAATGTTAAACTAACTTCCAAATAATAAGACCAAGTTTTCTAAATTACAAAAATAATAAATTTGGCTGTAAAAAAAATAAAAATTGAAGAAAAAATCTTAAAAAGAAATCTTAAAAATTTAACAAAACATTAAAATTAACTTTCTTTGGAGTGACTTGGTAACAAGAAAGACTAAGAAAACGGAGCTAATAAATTATTTTGGCATAAGAGGTATGGTAAAAATTCAACACACTTTTTCATTTGTGAGAAACAAATACAGATTAATCAAAAAGTTGATCGTTTGTTCATTTGCTTTTATAGAGAATTATCTTAAATTAACTTCCAAGTAATAACACCAAGTTTCCTAAATTACATAATTTTTTTTTATAAATTTCACGCAAAAAGTTTTTTTTTTGCAATGAAAACATAAAATAATAAATCAAGTCCAAAGGAAATAAAATAAATGAATCTTATACTTCAATTAAATAAGCTAAAGTTATTCCAACTGTAAAATGCAAAAATTTCTTAAGCCAACTCAAACTGAAACAAAAAAGTATTCTTCCACTGGAATGAGATTTGAAGTAGGCCTCCAGTTTGGAGCAAGAATTGGACAAGGACAAAAATTATAAAGGCTTAGTGAACCGATTGTTGGATTATCCAAAAGTGGTCTAGGTAAAATGTTATGTTACGTTATGTTACACTATGCTTGCACACCTCATGAAACTCTAATAGATCCATGCCACCCTAAGCAATAACTCTTATAACATAAAGCATAAAATTCATGAATTAGTTAATATTGTGAACCGAGATTCTTGAAATATGAAAGAAGCTGTAGTCCCCTGGAAAGATGCTGAAGAGTAGTTACTGGACTTTTCTGAAGTATTTTGCCATGAGATCTTTGTTAATGATTTCTGTGATTATGTTGAAAACATAATGAGAAATTACCATAAACATGTTGTAGCCAAAACTATCCAAAGAGCTAAAAATACAATTAATACCATTGCTGCAAGTTCTGCAGAGGCTGAAAAAGAGTTTTCTGTGAACATAAAGTTACTCTGATAAAAGAAATCTCAAAGTTAAAAATGTTGCCAATCTTCTAGGCTTAGATTTGATACATCTTCCCTTGGATCTTTGGGACTGCAGCAATTCAGTTCAAATATAGCTAAGGAACTGTAACACATCTGATGACACTAGTTAAAAAGCATCAGGAACAGAAATATAATGAGAATGGAATTTCATTGTCTTTCACCTTTTTTCATCTTTTTTATCTTTTTCTTTTTTCTTCATTTATCTTTTTACGTTTTTCTTTTAATTTTCTTTCCTTTTTTTATTTTTATTTTTTCTCACATGAACTCTTTGGGTTTATCTTTTGATTAGTTTTGTATTTATAACAAGTCTTTTTCAATGTTTCTTTTTTCATTGCTTTTCATCTTTTTTTCATTGCTTTTCATCTTTTGTTTTCCATCGCTTTTCATTTTTTTTCATTGCTTTTCATCTTTTTCCTTTTTTTTCATTTTTCTCTTTTTTTCTTTCATTTTTCTCTTTTTTTTTCTTTCATTTTTCTCTTTTTTTTCATTTTTCTCTTTTTTTTCATTTTTCTCTTTTTTTTCATTTTTCTTTTTTTATCATTTTTCTTTTTTTATCATTTTTCTTTTTTTTTTCATTTTTCTTTTTTTTTTCATTTTTTTTTTTCTTTTTCATTTTCTTTTTTCTTTTTTCTTTTCTTTTTCTTTTTCATTTTTCTTTTTTCTTTTTCTTTTTTCTTTTTCATTTTTCTTTTTTCTTTTTCATTTTTCTTTTTTCTTTTTCATTTTTCTTTTTTCTTTTTCATTTTTCTTTTTTCTTTTTCATTTTTTTTTTCATTTTTCTTTTCATTTTTCTTTTCATTTTTCTTTTTCATTTTTTTTTTCTCACAAGAACTCTTTGGGTTTATCTTTTGATTAGTTTTGTATTTATAACAAGTCTTTTTCAATGTTTTTTTCTTTTTTTCCATGAGAACTCTTTTTGGGTCTATCTTTCAATTAGTTTTGTATTCATAAGTCTTTTTCAATCTCCTTTTTTTCACCTTTTTTTCTTTTTTCCCCTTTTTTTTTCTTTTTTTTTTCTTTTTTTTTTCTTTTTTTTTTTTTTTTTTTTTTTCACAAAGATTTCTTTATGGGTTTATCTTTTGATTAGTTTTTATTAGTATTTATAATTGAAGTCTTTTTCAATCTCTTTTTTTCTTTTATCCAGCACCAACCATTAGTCTATGAAGTCAGCTACAATCTGAAGAAGAATCAAAGGAAGAACTTAATCTATCGAGGGCTGAACACATTGAATGCCACTCTGAAATTTATGCTTCCAGCTGGAAATGCTGAAAATGGAGACAAAGGTAAACCATTAAATGTATTCTTCTTCTGCTGCTGTCCATCAATATTCTGCAGGTTATTTAAAGTCAGAAAATATTTTTAGGTTCTAAGAATTATTTGAGAGATAATGATATACTGATACAAGTCCTATAAATTAACCCACATGCAGGGGGTGGAGAAGAGGTGATTTCATACCTTTCCTAATGATATATTTGTACATATTGAATATAACAAACCTGACTGGAATTGGAACTAAGCTCTCCGATTTCCAATTTTGAACCCTTATACATTATACCACCCACATATTCAAGCTTACATCATCTGGCATTCCTAAGCAGTCACCTATCTAGTTACTGACCAAATTTCGAATGTGGCTTAATTTCAGTGATTATATAAGAACCAGTCTTTCAATGTGATATGGTTGTAATCCTTGCTGTCCTCAATTAAATCACAGATCATGCAACCTACTTGTCCATAGCTCAGTTAATTGTGACCCCCATAATCTCTTCCATGTGTCTCCTAGATTGGTTACCAACCACAACTGAATAGGCCAATCTTCCCTAGGTTGTCAAATAAATTTGTGCATTTTTTTTCTCTATTTTATTCGTATTATTAACAATTTTAACAAACCTGTCAATAATATAAAGTTGTAGAGTAGCAATAGAACTGCAAAAACATAATACCATGGCAACTATTTTTTGTGTGTTAATTCAAATAACATTGGAAAAAAATAAACATTTATCTGACAATATCTATCTCTACAATTAAAAAAAAAAACCCATAAGAATGGTTTTCTCTCTCTTTTTTGCTTTCACTCTTTCTCTCTTCCCTTCACTTTCCCTCTCCCTCTCTGAATTCCTTCATAATTTCTAGTAGTCCCAGTATATATATATATATATATATATATATATATATATCACTAATATTATCTCTCTCTCTCTCTATATATATATATATATATATATATATATATATCACTAATATTATCTATCTCTATATATATATATATATAGTTATGTTATTCTTTCCATTAAACTCTCTCTCTCTCTCTATATATATATATATATATATATATATATATATATATAGGGTTGTTAGAGCATTCCCCTCCATTGATTTTAATAATATTAGTCCTTAACAATTTTGACAAATCAGTGAAGAATAATATAAAATAATAAAGTAAAGTTTTAGTAGATGGACTGATCTGTAAAAAAAAAAACAAAAAAAAAAGAACGGATAAAACTATGGCAAAAATATTTTGCATGTTAAGTCAAATAACATTGGTAAAAAACAAACAAATTTATCTGACAACAATTTGGAAACTAAATGAAGTAAATTCAAATAAAGATTTCATGGTCTTATTTTCATTTGATGGATTGCCTTCTGGAAAATATAAAATCAATAAAAACTTTTCTTTTGATAACAATATTAAACCATTAGAGTAAAAATTTCCTAGAGGTAAAAGAAAAAAATTACAATAAAAATGTATAAAACTAAGGTTTCAAAGCTGTTAGAGATATTTGGGATTTTTTTTATCATTTGCACATCAATTACACGTCACTTACATGTGAATTATTTTTATTTTTTTTTAGGAAATATGAGGGGGTCGCCTGTTTTGTGTTTGTATTTTTTTTTAACTTCAATCAAAATCTCAGACATGGAAAATTTTTGTAATATTTTCAGATATGTCATAACATCAAAGGGCTCTTTAGCTAAAGGTGAAGTTGATGTGAATAGTATGAATCCATTTATCTCTCCCCAGCTATGGATTAAATAACAGCAGGCTGGGCTCTGTAGCTATGTTTGACAACCAGTCTAGGCGAAACACAATTCTGAATTCAAAACCCAGCCATCTGAAGCTATACAAAGATGGCTCAGCTATAATTATATAATATATATAATATAATATAATAAATTAAAAATACTATCTGTTAATACTAACAAATAATATATGTAAAATTATGTAATTTAATGTATATCAAATTTATCAAAATTTCTGCCAATAAGGTGCTTACTATAGACTAGAGCAGCAATAATAATAATTAAATTAGTAAAACTGTTCAATACTTATCAAAAATCAACTCACTACAAAAAATTACGAATCCCCAAGCTGACCTTTTGACTTCTAATTTAATAATTATATATATATATATATATATATATATATATATATAGGAGGCAAAATTAATCAGTCCTTGACAGTAATGAATAAATTTTCATAAATGTTGTCATTCTTTTCATTAAACTTACAAATATGACATTCTTACTGAAACAAGAACCACCATGGTGTCCTACATGCCAAACTTCAATATACAGTAAAATATTTTCTAATTGAATGTATTGATCTTGAATCCAAAAGACACAATTTCTTCAAGGTAAGTCAGTTAGGTGCCATGCATGATACATGCTTAGGCTATCATGTATATTTTTTCCCGCAGTAGACCAGTTGTCATCTAAGGCTATAGAATCTGGTCTGTCCTGCTATTTACCCATAGCTGGATGGAGAAAAAGAGGATTAACACCTTTCCCAAAGGTATTAGCATATAAGTGAATACAATGGATTTGACTGGAATTTGAACTTGGCTCTCCGATTCCTCAATCCGAGCCACTATCCATTACACCACTTCAAGGTAAACAGCTGAAAAGAACTATTCAAAAATATTAAAATAAACAGGAACATAACATTTCTGAAATCCATTGGATTATATCTGAAAATATAAAAAAAAAAAAAAATTGTTCATTTTCCCTAAATATAAAAACAAATAAATTATTTTTGGTGTAAAATGACCCGAAAGAGTTGATATTTTATTAAAAGTCCACTTAAACTTAGAAAATATGATTTTGAATTAATCCAGGGGATTATATATTCTCTCTTTAATTTCAGTGTTCGTCTACATTGCTGTGATGGATAGCTTAGGTGCACGTACATCTGTGTGTTATATTCCGGTAACAGTTCAACCAATCGACCAGACACTGAGCAGCATCAATGTCAGTGTTGAGAAAGCAAATAAAATGCTGTAAGTAAAATGTTTCTTTATGGTTGCAATCTGAGATTTAAAGGAATTTGGATTAGGGAGTAGAGTTGGTAAATAATATCACAAGCTCCTGTGTTATAGGCTAAATCTGTTTCAACATTCAAATGTTTCGTTATGGTTTCACTCTGATTTGTAGCACTTAATAAATATTGTCTTTTTGTTATATCTCCTAAACTCTGTTTGGTCATCTTGTCCTGGGTAAGACGATAAACTACATCCGACAGCAAGGCCTTTGATTAGAAGGTTTTGAGGAGTGTGGAACTACCTCTTAATTGCTGGTGTTCCCAGGTCCACTCTGACCTGGGGTGGTAGTACCTGTCAGGGTCCCAGCTATGTGCAAATAGTTAACCCCACAAAGGGGGTCAAAACACTATGAAAGTATAAAAATAGGGTTTGATGCCAGCAATACTTTTTGTAAAAATTATTTCTTGCAATACATTTTTGAAAAAATAATATTACCAGCAATAAAAATCTTGACAGCATAAAAAAAAAAAAACCCATTGTGGTTGATATGCCATAAATCAAACCAAACTGTTCTGCCATTCATTTTCACAAGCTACTACTTCTATATGCTGTGTCCCTTTTGTAAAGATACTTCCATTAATTTGGTATACATGAGATTTAAAATGAATTTTTAAAAATGAAAAAGCTTTCTTGAAGCTTTCATTTTAGCTTTAATTTTAGCTTTAATTTAAAGCTAAAGGATTTAAAATTTACTATTTCCAGTAAGCAAAATACTTTGTGGTGTATTTCAAACAGAAATTATATTAATTGAAATTAATTTTTTTTTCAGTAAAATTGATAAAAATCAGCCATTTTTGACACATTTGTAAACAATATTTAATCCTCTGTTTTAAAAATCTTGCCAAAATAAAATATATATTTCTGAAATGTTATTTGAGTAAAATTAACAAATTTAAAGCTAAATTTGAAACAAATGTTACTTATAGCATAAAATGTTGTATACAAATATTTCTTAATTACAAGGTTTTGGTTTTCTGATTTATTGGCAGCTGAACATGTTCATAGTTAAGTATGATGAAGCAGATGATAGTTTATAAGGGCGACAACCCTTAAAACATGCTACTTTTAATGATAGATTTATTGGTTTGTACATCCATACTTCAGAAATTCTGTACATAATCACACATTCAAAAACAAATCAAAATTCTTTTAAAATTATTTGGGGTCATCAGATTGTAATGAGCTTTACAAATTATGATTAGTAAATATAGTTTTACTTAATAACAATATTTCCTAAGAATTTATTACATTGAAAATTAGTTTCTCAAAGATTTAAAACTTTATAAATTATTCAATTTAAAATTGTAAAAAATGAAAACAAATTTTGTAAAAATTGATTTTTTTTCATCAAAAAAATTTTGTTCTTCAGACAATATTGTCTTTAATTGTCAATATTTGTCTTTAGACAATATTGTCTTTAATATATCTTATTCATAAAAGCAATTAAAAGCCTCTTTAAATTAGTTTTATTGTGTTTTTTTTTAATTTTCAATTCAGAAAAGATTTTTGATGGTCTAATTTTTGCAAAAAATATTTAGTAATTTAAATTCTTCAAAGAATTCTGCTTTTAACTAATATAGTCATTAGAAATTATCACGTTGAATTTCTCAAGTTTTCATAAAATTAAATAAGGGGGGATGAAACAAAAGTAAAAAAAATATTCTTACCAAGATTTTCTAATAAAAACAATTTCAAAAATAATTTCATTCATTTGTGAATAAGTTCTGAAAATTTAATTAAAATCTGATAATTATTTGATTTTTGCAAGAATTTTGAAATTAATGTCTGTCACCACAAAAAGAGAGGTCAAAATTTGGAATGTTCTAAAAAGGAGTAAAAAATTTAATTAAAAATTCGAATTTTGATGATGAAACTATGTTTACCTAACATGTGGAGCATGTTTTCATCATGGTATACTGTTTTTAGTGTTTTCATAGATACCTACTTTAGTACATAGGTGATAATGGCTCTCCACAATTACCAGTCCTTTGTAGCTCTTAGTAAATTTTGTCTTTTTGCAATTTCTCCAAATCCTTGATCTGCCAACCATTTACACAAACTCTTTCATTTTTCTTCTATAAGCCATGTCCCTTCAGGATGATAGCGATCATAGCTCTCCACAATTTGCTCTCCTTTGTAGCCCTTAATAAATTTTGTTATTTTGTTATCTCTCCTAAACCCTGCTCTTCCATCCCTTTACTCAAGCTTGCTAGGTAGGTTATGCATTGTTTTCCTGTTCTTCTTGCCTTCAATCTGTCCCTGTGAGTATCAAATTTTCCAAGCTCTCTTTTCTGATTATGTACTCTAGAAATTTCAACTGCCTCTTTCTGATTCTAAGTGTCCTTTTTTTTCTTTTTTCTCTAAAACTTTGTCATTGCTCACATATTCAGTTCATGGTATTCTCAGCATCCTCCCATAGAGCCACATTTCTGTTGTTTCAAGTTTCTTTATCTCTGAGAAGATTGTCCAGCATACATTGTCATATAGGAGGACTGATATTATGAAACAATTCAGTACTCTATACTTTGTTTCTAACAAAATTTTTACTTCAAATACCTTGGCAGTTATAACAAATTTAGTATAAGAGAAAAGGAAATTTGTCATATAGGAATAAAGTGTCACTGCTAACACTTGGGTTTGAACACGGATCACCAGAGAGCAAGCACAGTCGACCTAATCTTGAAATAATTAGATCACATGGCAGGTAAAGGAAAATTATATGAGAATTAGTGGTGTCTGATCTAGGATTGTTCAAAGGCATTACTATTATTGCATCTGTGATCTACAAAGTCTCTCCTACAACCAGGCATTACAAAAAAAATTAAACATAGGCTGCACTAGAGGTAGTTTCCCTCGACACCACATATTGGTACAAAACATCAACCTGAAAACTTGAGTCATGTTAAAGACATGGATGCCATGCATGACACCAAAGAAATATCTACACTATCAGCTGTATGCAATCACTTTCTCAGACCAATGGTTAAAAAGGACTAACTAAATGAAGCCAGTGGGTCTTGGCAAAGACTATCTTTCTTTGAACATTGGAAACATCACTACAGAATGACAAACATCTGTACAAAATAACAGAAACCACATCACTTGATGACTATCAACAACAGCAACAACTAAAATGGACAGCACATCTAACTTGACAAAATGATGATATAATTTGTTATATGTTGATATTCCACGCTACTTTAGGAAGGAACCCCCCCCCGTCAATACTGAAAAGTGTGATAACAGCTACTCTACTTGAGAAACCTATTTTCCTGAAAAATTGTTTTAAGAGAAAAATTTTTATAAATTTTAATTGAAAGTAGTACTGGCTGTTCAGTCAAATATTCTATTTTACAATTAGTTATTGCTGTTAATCTCTTATTGTGCCTAATAAGATCCACAGTAAAAACAAAACATCTTTCCCCCACATAACTTTTATTACTCTCTATTGTTATAAGTGTTCTATTTTATTATTATTATTGTTGTTAATTTTTTAGTGTATCCAATTTATCAATTGAACTTTATCAGATGTATGTGTTTAGTTGAAAAACAAACATGCATGACTTGATATTATCAGCAGGTTCAGGTATCCACTGGGTTTGGCCATCTTGGAACATATTTTCTTTGGACAAGAGAGAAGTAGTGTGCATATATATATATATATATATATATATATATATTCAGTAGATGAACTGTTGTGCCCCTTATATGGCATTTGTATGCTTCATTTTGATTTAATATTGCTTTGTATTAATGTTTGGTTAGTATTATTAACATCTTACATTGATTAGTTGATATTATTAACATCTTATATGGATGCTCTTTATTTAATGGTTGCATATTAATTTTCCAAAGTAGTTCTATATTTTTTATCTTTATTTTTTTTGAATGGTCTACAAAATTTTATGTAAGAAGCTGAATGAGCATATAACTGGTTAACATTATGTTGAATTACTTGCCCATCACTTTCACTTTTGCTTCTTGGTAAGTTACATCTCATGAAACAATGTAACAATTTGTATCTGCCCATAAGGAAATTGTCTAGTTTTTATATGCAGACAATTTCATGTCATGACCTACATTAATAAAAAAAAAAAAAAAAAAATTTTCCAGTGAATTTGAATTTAGTGAAGGTTACATTTGATTGGTTAACCACAGCAAAGTGCACAAGTCCATTTTTTTAAAAGTATTCTGCTTTTTGAAATCAAAGTAATCTTTCACTCACCAATAGTTTAACATTGCCTGAAGGGACACATTTATGGTGTTGAAACATAATTGGAATTGTGTAGCAATTTTTTTGTAACATGTTTTAATATCCTAAAATAAATAATATTTAGCTCTACTATGTATTGAGCCCTCTTTTAAATTAAATATTACATACAGTGGAATCATACTCCATTTGTTCTTATTTTACCTGTATATATATATATATATATATATATATATATATAATCTCCAGGTAGAGTAGATATAGAAATCAACACTATGGTGCCAATCAGTTTCATGCCTCTAGTCTTGAGAATGTATGAAACTGACAGTTGCCATGTTGTGTTGATTTCTGTGTCTATACTGTCTATATCTATAAATGCTCTCTCTGAAATTGAACACTCTTCCCCCATGAATATAGCAAATTTTAAATGCACACACACACGCACACTTCTATTTATCTATCTTCAATTCTATGTTGAAACAAAAACTTGATTTTCCAGAAATGACACTCTGCATGGCTACCTTGATGAAAAAGACGGCCGTAATGCACGCATATTAGTCAATTTAATGGCTATTCGGTTGAATCGTTTGGAACCAATGGATGAAGCTGCCAAAAACAAGCGCTGGAAGAGGAGACATGCCTTACTTTGTGTTTTGGACCGGTTGCCTGTTCGAGATGAGGTAAACATCAACTCTCAATTAGTCAGAGCCTTTTGGTTCTTTCAACGTGATATACAGTCATATCTGAATTTTGCTTGTGATGTTCCTTGCCATGACACAATCAATGACACATATTTTCTTGGAAATTTTTATACCTGTTTGAAAGCCAGACTTTTTAATGTTATAATCTAGGATTTCTGAAGAAATAAATGGTCTTAATATTCTGTTGTATGATGATTGCATCCTGTGAATGAAAGGAGAACTGTTCAATATCAGCTGTTTGGTGTCTCTCCAGTCAGTCATATTAGTATCGCAAAAAGTGTTAATGGTCATCAAAATATTCGTGTAGAATTTATTTGACAAAAGTTGATTGATTGATTTAAATAAGAAAGAAAAAAAATATTATCAAGAGCCTCCCAATAAACGTTTATATTTATTTCCAATTTTAATATTCATTTTCTTTGAAGCTCTTAACTATATATGTGCTTAGTGAAGTATTTCAGCTGAGCTCAACACTTATTTAAGTGACATAACAAGATGGGGTGTTAGTGTTGATCTAAGCAAGAAAGATTAATGTTGATTTAATGACAATAACAAGATGTAGAGAATCAGCTCTTTTTGATTTACTCTAATGGAGGCAAGGGGGAATAACTCTTCATTAATTACCATTGTTACCACCTACTCATTAATTACCATTATCAGGACAGAGGGTAGTCACCTTGTTTTTAATTACTATTACCAGGGCAGGAGGAATTCACCGAGTCTTCAGTTACCATTACCAGGGCAGAGAGTCGTCATCGTTTCTTTAATTACTAACAACAAGGCAGTAGTGAGTCAAATCTTTTAAATGCAGTTAACAGGGCAGTGGGGAGTGACCTGTTCTTTAATTACTGTAATAAGCCAGGGAGGTAGTCACCCTTTTTTTAACCACCATTAATTGAGAGGATGGGAGGTGTCAACTCTCATTTAATCTCATATTGGTGGAAGGAGTCAACTCGTTTAATCACCATAAAGCAAGTGGAGGGGACTTGGCATTTCTTGACTCACCATAATTCTAGGAGGTGTACCCACTCTTAATTTCTAGAATCACCTTATTGAAACACTTTAATAGAGTTGGCACATTCATATATTCCCTGCTGCCAGAATCAACGTCCTCATATGGACCCTGCCACTTCAATTGGCATGCTTGTGGTTTTACTAAACCTTTATTAGTCATCCTCAAGACTGCTTAGTTGTCTAACCCAAGTAAAATGATCTGTTGGGTGGTAATTGGGGAAATGCTCTATGAGGAAGTAATCAGGGAAAGAGCCTGGCTTTGGTTAATTGGAAAAATGAACTTTTGGGTGTAATTATCTAAGTGTCTTGTTTGGTAGTAATTTTCAAGTGTTCTGGTTCCCGAGTAAGAGTCTACCAGGCAGTAACTGTTAAAATGATTTCTGGGATGATAATTAACAATATTGTCATCTGAATTGGAACTGACTAAATTATCTGTAAGGTGGCAATTGGCCAAATAGATCTGCCAGGTTATTTTGGATTCCTTTTGAAAAATGACCCACGTTTTTGAAGAAAAAACAAAAACTATTATAGATTTGTGTTCACCTTTACTGGTTGTTCACACGTCAAGAGTGCTTCCTCCCAACGGAGAAAATACTGGTGTTATATAGTTCTCCCAGGCCCACAATGACTATTGACTAATACCTGCCCAGTATCATTTGTATGCAAATTTTGTCAAATCTCTCAACAGCCAATTGTGGAAGAGGATGTAACTTCTGGTGCTTACTGAACTACATGCAGCCAACTCTAGGTTTCTTGTCAGATTGACCTGATTATCCATTACAAGATTCTTTAGATCCCTATTATCTGGAAAGGATAGATCTCTATTATCTGGAAAGGATGAAAGTAACTCTGGAATGATATAGATGGTTAGTATTTTATTTTAAGCAAAAAAGTTCTGGTCAGTTTTGTTAATGTTTTCATAACTCTTTAGTCATGAGGATACCACATGTATTATAGCCATAACAACAATGATGCATTTTGGGTAAAATTGCCTGCCAGAGCTTATCTCTCTCCAGGCTGATTTTGAATTCAGAGTTTTTCTTCTAGGCAGGTTGCCATCTCAAGTAAAGAGATTGAAGTTTGCTTTGCTATTTAACCCATAGTGAGTGGAAGACAGATTCATGCCTTTTCCAATGGCTTCAGGGTAAACTAAAAAAATAGAACTGATCAGGAATTGAACTTGATATGTCAAATTCACTTTCTGCATTGATAACTGTTACACAATCCACGTCTCCTTGCATCGTTTCAGAAGACAAATAAAATCAGAAACCTTGCCTCAGTTATTTCATTATAAGCAGACTCATAAGGCTTAAAAATATATAGCTGTTATTTTGTCTGAATTTCTGAAAAATTATTTGAACATTCAGTGATGTATTCTTGAACATCAGTTCAAATCCATCAAGGTACAGCAATTTTACAAACTGACCAAAGTTGAACAAGAACAGTCTTTTTGCTATTGATTCAAAGAAAAAAAAATGATTCTTGTTGTTACGCTGTTTATTTTGATCAATACATTTTTGTCTTCTCTTTTCTTTGTAGCTTGAAACTTTGCAAACAGTTCAGGCTGTTGAGGCTGTAACACTCAAATCGGATGAGGTGAGTACGATCTACTGATTGCCTTTGCTGGTTTCAGCCTCAAATACAACCACCTTCACACCCTCAAGATCTCTATAGTCTCATAAATTCTGACTATTAACAATGAGTTGTTTCTTTCTATCAAGGAAAATGTCTATTATGCCTTTCATATTCCTTTGATAAAGAGGAAATTCCATCCAGACAGCTTCTTTCACACAACTGTCACTTTGTGGAACTGACTCCCAAGAGGATGTTCCCCCAACCACTACAATTTTGACCTATCCAAGTCTAGGGTCAACAATTATCTATCCTACATATCCTCATAATATGCACTTTGTCCTCCTCTCTTTCCACCCTTAGAACAATCTCATTCAGTAACCTTTTACCTTAAGTGGCTCTTGGGCCTCGTATTGAGTGAACAATGGTATTAAAAATTAAAAAAAAGATGGACAGTGTTGTCATAGGGATCAGCACTGCATGCTGATTTTCAGTGTCCTTGAAGCATGAAACTAACAGCCACCATGAAGTGTTGATCCCTGTATCTACACTATCTATATATTTAATTGCTTTATCTCTAATAATGAGTACTCTTCCTATGTGTGTGTGTGTGTGTGTGTGTGTGTGTGTATATATATATATATATATATATATATATATATATGAAATATTATTTATTAGTGAATACCTGTATTTGAGTAGATGCTCTGTTTATTTTAAGTGATGTTTATTTTCTCTACTAGCCTGTACACTGGAAAAAAAACTATTTAAAAAAAAAAAAGAAAAGTGTGCTGTCTGGCCATATTCAAACATGCATCCCTCTTTGCAGGAAAAATCACCTTCTGATCCAGAGTGCTTTAAAGGCTATACATGTTCATTCATTTATTTATATAATATATATATATATATATATATATATATATATATATATATATATATATATATACACACACACACTATATGAAGGACTCTCCCATCAGTTTCAATGTATGAGGATCTGACAACTTCATTCAGTTTTTATGATTATGCCATATTTGACACTTCAGTCCCACTAGTAACTTGCATACAAGTCCAGATATTGTTCAACAGTGAGGGTCTTGAGACATATCCACAGGAATATTTGTCTTTCGTCTCTTACCCAGTTAATATGACTGATTTCAAAATTTCCGATGGAACTCTGGCACAAATATCTCCAGTTATTTCTCTCAGGGACAACTTGCTCGAAGTTAGTATGAAGCATATTGACAGCTGAGAGGTTATTCTTTAGTTTGTCTTTATACCTGAGCCATGGCTGTCCAATAGTTTTTTTTTTTTGTCTCCTGTCAAGCTGGCAATATATGAGGACCTTAGCTATATATAAATAATATTGGGTTGGCCCAAAAGTTTCTTTGGTTCATTAAGTAATTTTTCTACTCATTAAGCAAACTTTTTGATCCACCCAATATTTTGAGAGTTTGTAACATTTACATGAATCCTTGACCATGGACAAACACTTTTCTCTTGATTTTTTTTTTTTTTTAATAAGAGATAGTTCTGAGTATGATGATAAAGTACATCTGGCAGCAAGGCCTCCAATCATGAGATTGGAGTTTTGAGCACTGTGGAACCACCTCTTAATTGCCGTTGTTCTCAAGACCACTTTGACCAAGGGTAGTAGCACCTGTTAGGGTCCCAGCTATGGGTAAATAATTACCAAACAAAAGCAAAACACTATGATAATGCAAAAAGACCAGCAATACATTTGTGTATTAAAAATTATTGACACTATATATTTATAGTAAAATTACCAACAATGTGCTCATACTAACAAATTGTATTGACTTCATCCAAATCTTTTTAAAATACTATCAAACAACCAACATGAAAATACTTTCATGACATTAAGCCATATAATATCCTACAATTTCTTAAATCAAACTGTATTCCAAAATATAACTTAAACAAAACTTCAGCATAAAACTCATATCACCTCTCGTAATTGTGTCCTCACAAACATATATATGCACAAAAGCTGAGTATCATCTACCATGTATTCAATTGTGAAAGCAGAATAACATATATCATGTTCATTACTTCCAAGCTCCCAAGAAAATTAAATTTTGGCATTAAATGACCCATAAGAAGTTGATATGCCTTTAAACAAACAAATCAATCCCAATAAAAGGGTTGGTGCTAAAATTATTTAAATGATATTTCAACTTGAAAATTTAAAACTTTAGTCTTTATTTATGAAATTTTATTAATATATTGTGAGAAAAATTATACACAATACTCACATGGTCTATGTACTCAGGTTGTGTATCACTCTGTCCTACTTTTTCAGCTTTACTCCTAGAGGCCATAGTCCAACATATTATACCATTTTGGAATCAGGCCGACTTTGTGGGCTAATTAAAAACATTCTGAACCAGATTCGGATCCTGCAATACTGAAATTTTGGATTCCAAAGTTTTCATTACTGTGATTGTTTTCAGTGATTTTTTTTTTTTTTTTTTTCTTTTTCTCTTTTTTTTCTTTTTCTCTTTTTTTTCTTTTTCTCTTTTTTTTCTTTTTCTCTTTTTTTTCTTTTTCTCTTTTTTTTCTTTTTCTCTTTTTTTTCTTTTTCTTTTTTTTTTTTTTTTTTTTTTTTTTTTTTTTTTTTTTTCTTTTTTTTTTTTTTTTTTTTTTTTTTTTTTTTTTTTTTTTTTCTTTTTCTTTTTTTTTTTCTTTTTTTTTTTTCTTTTTTTTCTTTTTTTTTTTTTTTTTCTTTTTTTTTTTTTCTTTTTTTTTTCTTTTTTTTTTTTTTTTTTTTTTTTTCTTTTTTTTTTTTTTTTTTTTCTCCTCATGATTTTTTGTGACTAATTTTTTTTGTACAATAACAGTTTTTATAACTTAGAAATAAATTTGGGAATAATCGAGATTAATTGCCAAATCCAGTGAAAGTCACCCATGAAATAAAAATAAAGTAAGGACCTATGTACATCAAATTGTCTTTAAATTAAGTGGCAGCAGAGAAATTATTGTTGAACTTTTAAAAGGTAAGCTTAAGCATTAATGCAATACTTAAATGCAGTGATCAATTTTGAGTTCTTCTGTAATTTATTTTTTTTTTATTCAAGCATTTCACCCCAAACAAGGCAAGAGTGCCACTAGCAACAAGGGGTTACTGGGGGTAGAGAACAAGAATAAAGAGGTGTGTTTAGGGAGAGGATAAAGAGAAGAATGAGGAACAAGATCAAGGTATCAGAAGATGTCAATTGACATTACACTTGAATATTTGAAGATTATAGTTATCAGGAAAGCAAGTAAGAGGAAGAGAATTCCACAGACAGGAAGTGCAAGAGAAGAAGCTCTTTGCGTAGAAGAGATGGTTACATTTAACCGTTTCAACAGCGAAAGGTTGGGATCAAGATGCCAATTTAGTAGCTCGCTGAAATTCATGCAGTCTGGGAACCAGCGCAAACAATTTGTCAGAACAGTTGCTGTGAAAATACTTATAGAAAAGTCAGAGGGAAGCCACGGCATGTCTGTAAGAAAGCGACTGTAGACTAGATACCAGATCAGGCCCTTTCACATTGCATATCTGTCTGTGGATTTGAGAACCTCGAGACTTACAGTGGGGGCACAAGACCATATATGACAGCAATATTCCATGCAATTATTGTTGCCTATCACATCTACTCCTCCCTACTTATTGTGATGATGGCCCAATCAAGAGCCCTCTGCAGAAACTAGATTAAATGTTGCCCAATAGGGCAGTTTTTAAGTTAGTTTTTAATAACCCTCATTATATGTTTTGATATTATGGCAGTATTTTGCTGATGATAGTAGCAAAATGTGATAATTTTCCACAAATTCAGAAATTTTGATTTAAATCCTGTGTATTGAGGTCTGTTGGGAGTTATTGTTTTTTAATAAAATTGCTGTATTTATCACTTTATTAGCTTAGTTTTGTAATTTGTTCTTCGGATCATTAATGCATATAATTTGACGCCTTATTTCCCCACATGGCTCTGGTGCCATCAATCCTGTCTGTAGCATCCAAACTCTGACTTTATAATGATAGCATTTGAGTCATTCCTTCATTTTTGTTTTGACCATTGCGTCCTTTTATGCAGTGGGTGTACTGTGTCTTGTTGACTTTTTCTTTTTACTTTCAAAGTGACTCACTTGTAATCTCTTCTGTTCCATTAACTTTATTTTTGCTTCTGATCCTTGTTTACAATCACGTTCCATTCCAGCATTCAATTTACCATATTTGAAATCTTGATTTCCAAATATTCACCTACATTCTTTTAAAATGTGTGTTCTTTAACGTCTCCACTTTCAAATTTCTGAAAATGTTCTCTTTATTTAAGTTTTTATCCTTTTGCCTGGAATAAATTCTATGCAATTTGTGGAGAATTTCTTTTCCTTGTCTTCAAAGTGACCTTATAATATTGACACAATTTTTGTCGAAATTAAGATGCTTTCTTTCCGAAAATGACTCCTGCTTTCCTCTGCTATGAAACTCTGTGGCAGATTATTCCTGATGTCAAGGGGAGCACGTATATACAATGTCTTGCTAAAGATACTGGGAAAATGGTGGGTTCATTTAAATGCTCCTAGAAATATCTCCCCGTCATACTCGATTTTTACAAGAGTTAGATCAGATCAAATACAAAGTATTGCTGCCATACCTGGGTTTGAGATGCCCAGTATTCATTTATTTGTCATGATAGTTCAAAAGCATCTACACGGCCTTGTGGATGATGAATTATTTTCAACCTTATGACCCTTTATCCATAGACAAAACGTTGCAAGCTACTTGCTACTTTATCACTATTTCCATGGCAAGTGTTCCAACACACTATGTTCCTAGTTTCCACCAGTTTTGACCTTTGAACCTGGGACCTGCCATGCCACATACATGCAGATGAATCATCCCCATTCCCTTTTTGTTCCATTGGCAAGAAGGAAGTTCCACTTGGACAGAATTGCTGCTTTTTGGAATAGACCCACAGCAATCTTGACCTCTTCAAGTCTAGGGTTAACCATAATCTTTCCTACATGACATAGACTGGACTTACCTTCTCTTTTGCTCATCCAGCACCATACAGTAACTCTCTACCTTAGGTGAGTGAACATCACTATATAAAAAGGTCCTTCTCTCTCTTAAAAAAAAATCCATACTTAATCTATTCTTTAAAGCCTCTGTTATTTTCACTCTTCTCTTTCAAAATACTTTTTACCTCCTCTTTTTTCATCTCTTTACTTCTTTTCAAATTGGCTCACTCTCTCTTATTTCAACTTTCTTTCTCTCCCTAAATGTCTCCTCTCTCTTATTTGAACTCTTTACTTCTCTTACTGTTTTTAAGGACACTGTTGCAATGCAGTAGCTAGCAATTGAGTTCAGCACTGACTTAGCACACCACAGTTAAGGATCTTGTGCCAGGTGACATTTTCCTTAATTTCTTTCATTCTTGTACTACTAGTCTTGCTGTTGCTATTATCTTTATTTGTTGTTTCTCTATCCCCCTCCTTCTGCCATGTTGCCATTTCTCTCTCTATCCCCCTCCATGTGCCTCGCTGTCGTTTCTCTCACTCTCCCTCTCTTTGCGTTGCTGTCGTTTCTCTCTCTATCCCCACTCTCTGCCTTGCTGCCATTTCTCCCCCTCCGCGCGCCTCGCCGTTGTTTCTCCCCCTCAGCGTTCCCCCCCCATCGTCCCCCCTCTCTGCGTGCCTCCCCCCCCGGTCGTTTCTCCCCCTCCATTGTTTCTCTCTCTCTCCCCCCTTCTCTACCGTACCGTTGTTTCTCTCTCTCTCCCCCCTTCTCTATTACACTGTTGTTTTCTCCCTCTGTCTTTTCCCCTCTCTCTACCTCTCTGTTTTTACTTTCTCCTCCACTTTCAGCGTTGCTACTCTCTTTCCTTTCTTTGTAGCTATATTCTGTCAGTGTCTATTTAACATTTCTCTCTGCCTTTGTCTGTCCTGTTATTTTTTTTTTTACCAGGAATTCCATTTTGTGTGTTTTTTCTTGTTTTTTTTTTATTTTGCCTGAAAAGAATGTTCCTTCAAAGGTCAATTATTTTACTTTTATGAATGAGCTAAAAGCTTTGCATCTTGTACATTTCTCATCCAGTCACCCAACCAATTAAATCATCCAGTTTTATTCTACTTGTCTCTTACCCTAATAATGTTTGATCTTTATTCTGGCTTACTTTCCATCAATTCTGTTGATTTTTATCAGTGTTTTCAGGTAATCCATTTCTTAGCCATTAAAATATTGTGTGAATGTAAAAGTTTCATCAATTCTATTTTTTTTTTTTTTAAAAAAACAAAAGCAATTTTCTGCTTTGTGTTCAGTTTCAAAAGATGAGATCTCTGGGAACTTTTGTAAACACTTTTAATCTGTATACATCTGGCTTAAGTTTAAAGTGATAGCTACATTATTTTCATAAAGAGTAACCTCTCAGCTGTCATACTAACAAGTTACCCTAGATAGAAATATCTGGAAATATTTGTGCCAGCATGGTATCAGTAATTATAATCTATAATTTTTGAAAGTGAAAATTTCAAAGAGATACATTTGGAAAGATTCTAATTTTTGATCTGAAATCAAGAAAATAAGAACTTCAAGCAAAATGGTCACAATATGGGCAGTGGGGGGAGTATCAATTTAAACTCACCAGAAGGATATGAATAAATAAACGTGAAATTAGAATCTTTAAATTCACTTTTGTTGAGAGTGTAATTTACTTGGTTGCTAGCATAACTTTAAAGCATTGTCAGTCCATCAAGTGATCACTTGATAAGACACCGAGGGTGTTGAAACAAAATGGCTATTTTTGTAGTGATTTTATAACATATTTATGTTATAAATTAAAAAAAAATATATATATATATAATATTAAAGTTATGCTATTTAGTATGGTATACAGCACATTTTTTTTTCCTGTGTGCAATCTCAAGGAGACTCATTTTGAGAGCTGCTTTTGGATGGACATGGTTCAGGTATTAAAACAAGCTAAAGAATATCTTCTGAGCTGTCAATGTACACCATACTAACTTTGAGCAGCTTGCTCTGGATAGAAATAACTGGAGGTATTTCTGCCAGAGTGGTATCAGAAATTTTGAAATCAGTCATATTGACCAGCTAAGAGATGAAAGACAATCGCAAAAATTCCTGTTGCTATGTCCTGAGATCCTCACTGTTGCAGAATATGTGGACTTGTATGCAGGTCACTAGTGGAGCTGAAGTGACACATATGGCATGATCATAAAAGCTGAATGAGGTTGTCGGATCCTCATATGTCAAAATCAATAGGAGAGTCCTTCATATATATCCAAAAAGAAAACAATATCCCTATCAAAAACAAATGGAAAATTATTTAAAAAAAAAACAAAAAACAAAAAAACATCCCCATACAGTATTAACAGTAAAAAAATTGTCAATTATGCTTAGAAGAAAAATTAGCAATAATTAGTTATAAAAACTAAAAAAAAAACTCTTAATCACTCAAAATAACACTTGAAAAACTGAAATAATAGGTAAATGTAGAGATATAAATAAATACTTATAACACTACTTATATAAATACTTATATAAATAAATGTAGAGATATAAATAAATACTTAATTTGCCATCTAAGCACAAATTAAAAATAAACAAATGTAAAATTTAATTAAATGAAACAAATATGATATAAATTTAATTTGTTAATAAATAAATAAATAAATTAAAAAAATATTAAAAATGCACACCTATATGCATGTATGTGCATGTACATATAAATATATGAACAAACTTAAACCTCATAATTAATATCTCAATATATAACACCAAAGGAATTAACATATATGTGCATGTGTGTATAGAATTATATATATATATATATGCAGCAACCTTTCTTTCAAGCAGCTTTCATTGAAAACTGCTGAAAAGGAAGATTTAATTAATCTTTTGACTTTTTCCAGCATTCTAACATTTTTCCATTTTTCAGGGGTTAAAGAATATTGATATTGTCCATAGTTATAATTGTTCCGAGCACTATCAGCTAGTTCTATAGCCATTATCAAGGATATTGTTTTTGGATGAATTTCTGTGTGTAGGATTCGACATAGTAGCTTTGCTGTGTGCAGTCCATGCAGCAGAGGATGTATGCTTTTTTGGCAGTCATGTGCTATTCATGGCCAGTTGACCTGGGCATCACTTCTATTTTAAGAAAACATTTAATACATGATCTCCACTGCTAAATAGTGTAAGATTGACAGTGGGAGAATGTTATTTAATTAGCAATGCTTCCCTAATGATGAGTTGTGTATGACTATGCTTGAAAATCTTTGACTAGAGTTTTCCTTACAGGTTCTTGTAAATTATGACTTAATAAATAAATTTTTATTAATCACACTGTATGTATGTATGTATGTATGTATGTATATATATATATATATATATATATATACACAACAAATTCTCTTCAACCAACCAACCATAATTAATACCCTTAAAATAGAAAAAATAAATTTGCCATTTAAGCACTAGTTTATTAATAACAAAGAACAGACATAAGTGTGCATATACCTGTGTATGCAGGTTTCTATGTGTACAATTTGCACATATGTATACCTATATACCTGCATGCATAGGCACATGTGCATGTACCTAAGTGTGTGTGAATATATACATGTATATATTATAAATTAGCTGATTTAAAATATTATATAATATTTGTTCTGCAAAATATATTATATAATATTTATGCTCTGTAAATTGACATTGAGCACTATTTTGTAAAAATAAAAATATCAATAAGAACACGGGATTATATATCTTACTGTTCTTTATATATATATATATATATATATATATATATATATATATATATATATATTATTTATAAAAAATACAACTTCCCTAGCAAAAGAAATAAAAAAAAAACTGTTCAAAAAGTTAAAATTGATTGCACATTTAGAATTGGGAGAATTCAGCACAAAATGGCAGCTGTTGAAAGAAAATAAGAAAAAGCAAGTGTAAAGTGAAAAAAAACAATGACCAAATGATCACAACACCCTACATGTATGCACATGTACACACGCACACGTGCAAACACACATCTTCAGTGACAGGTGCATGGCTGCACATATACAAATGTGCACACAAATACAAAATAAAACTTACACCTATGTTAAATGTATAAAAAGGAAAAAGTATAAAAAATATAAACAGTAAATTGGTCATACCCCCTGAAGAGTGGATGGACAGAACTCCTTGAGAAAGTCTGAATGCTGACGGTAACATGAATCAGCTAACTGACAAACCTTTACTCATATTAATCATATATTAATCATTTCAATTCAATTAAGACAATAATTCCACTAGGACACATGGGGTTATAGGAAATGAAAGAGAAGATTTTAGTGAATTGAGGACAATAAAGGAACAGGATTCAGGAAGATGAAATATTGCGACTGATGTTGCATTTAAATTTTTGAAGAGTGTTGTTATCAGGGGAGCAAGAAAACAGAAAGGCGTTCCACAGCTGTGAAGTACGAGAAAAGAAAATATTAGAAGAGACTGTTGCATTTAGATAGATAAACAATAAAAACATTGAAACCAAACTGCTAGTCTAGTAGCACATTTAAATTCAGGCAGTTAAGAAATTATGAAAAAAAAAGCTCATCAGAAAAGTTACCATGAAATATTTGTAGAAAAGAAGGAAGCCATATCACATCAGTGAGAAAGTGACTGAAGTCAAGATGTCAGGATCAAATTTTCAACCCATTTCTTGCCCCAGTTAACCACTGATTGGAGGTTTTTTTCAAGAGCAATTGCCAGATTTACTTAGTCAAATCTGTATGCCTTGCTACTATAACAGGTGAATATAGTTGTGTCCTCTGCATAAATACTTAGTTAGAAACTGATGATATCAATCAGGTCATTAATGAAGATCATAAACAGCATAGGTTCAAGGATATAAGCATGGGAGACCCCTGTATTAGTATGAAATAATCTAGAAGCATGCCTGCTCAACACAATCTTATTATATATATATATATATATATAATTTCCAACGGGATAGAATCCAGATAGAACTCAATATCCAGGACAGAGAAAGAATATAACATAAAATGCTCAAACACTAATATTTCATGGTTATGATTTATTACATTGGAATTGTAATCACAATCCAATTCATCAGAACTACAAATTCAAAAAAGCTTTTTTGAAGGTCTGATGAATTGGATTGTGATTACAATTCCAATGTAATGAATTATAACCATGGAATATTAGTGTTTGAGCCTTTTATATATATATACTGTGTGCCAAATTATTATTGAGATAACTTTTTTTCTAATATTTCAAAAACCATCCAATCAATTCACACAAAATTTTCACACAATGTTGGCAACACTGACCTGTGCATTTACTGAAATTTCCGTACTGATCTGCGCAATGTAAACAAACTGGCACCATATTTATCAGCACAGTGATTTGAGCGTGCCAAATTATTAGAAAAGTGTAAGAATTTAGTGAAAAGATGGGCCGTAAAAGCAGTTTAAGTGATGCTGAAAAGAAAACTATCACCTCAGAACTCTCAAAAGGTAAATCTACCCTAGAAATTTCTAAAATGATATGAAGATGTCATCAAAGAGTGAAAAAGTTCACCGCCAACCCCACACAAGTACGCAAAACGGCAGATAAAGGCAAGCCGAGGGTTATTTCACATCGTTTCATGTCACGACTCAAACAAGAGGCCAACAAGAACCCTGGACTTACCAGTCAAGAGCTTTTCAGTCGCATTGGGGATCCTACTGTGTCTGAAAGTACTCGGTGTCGGTCTCTGAGGGAAATAGCAACAACAGTCAAACCTGTATCGAAGCCTCCGTTGATGAGAAATCACATTCAAAATCGATTGAAATGGGCCGAGGACAATATGAA